CATACGTCGATGAAGGTGGGCCGTAGGAAGACGAAGGGGGCGAGTAAGTGTTAGCAGGAGGCTGATACACAGGTGGACTAGTTGTGGTCACCGGCGGTCTGTAGGTTGGCCAAGGATTGAAGTAGATCGGCACAAAGTAAGGATTGTAAACGGGTGGACGGGACGGTGGCCGCAGATAAGTGGGGACTGGGGTTGTAGTGGAGCCGTAAGATTGCGAAGGTGGGCCATATGAAGTAGACGGTGGACCATACAACGAAGAAGGAGGTGCATATGTTGACGTAGGCGGAGGACCATAGGAGGAAGAAGGAGGTGCATACGTTGTCGTAGGTGGAGGACCATAGGAGGAAGAAGGAGGCGCGTAAGTTGATGACGGAGGTGGACCATAAGAGGAAGACGGAGGTCCCTAGGACGACAGAGGAGGCGCATACGTCGATGGAGGTGGACCGTAAGATGACGGCGGAGGTTCATACGTTGATGGAGGTGAACCATAACTGGAAGGCGGCGGTTCATATGTCGATGACAGAGGAGGTGCATAAGTTGATGATGGTTCCCCATACGTCGAACTGGCACCGTTTGAAGAATCTTCGAAACCAACATTATTTTCTGCCAAGGTTTGCTGAATGTTACTCTGCAAATCATGTACGTATTCCTGGCCAGATGTATTGTCAAATGCAGAGGATCCGAGAACAGACAGGAGGTTGTTCAAGGAAGGATCATCTTGGACAGAGGATGATGCGGAATCCCGAACAGGGTTCGCGACGAGTTTGTTGAGACGAGATGTCTCTGCTGCATATTCTGCTCCGTTCGAATCAAGCGCAGAAACGTAAGCGCACTTGATGCATAGCAAAACAATTATCACAAAACTTCGATCCATGTTTGACCTGAAATCAAATGAGATAACAATAAAACAAGATCAGACATAGCCCAACCAATGCATAATGAATGGTTTTCCCAAAATAAATCTGGAGTAACATGAATTTGAAACTGACTGAAATAAAATTTAAAAAAACGGACTTCGACATTCTATGAAATACGTCTTATTTATCACACGCAGTAAAATTGTTTGCGTACAAAAAACAATAAAAAATAGATCACACGTCAGCGTTGCATCAAAATAACTTGAATCTCGACCCCTTTCGTTGAACTCTCAGGACATTCTGTGAAATAAAAGATAAACGTGGTGAAAACTTGATGACCCTAATGAATGCGAGTGATAAATACGAACCATTAACCAAAAAAAGGCGGTGGCCGATTGGGAGGACTCAGAGCAAATACTGGCGGACTACCCTGGAAGAACGGAGACTGTGGACGTCCAAATCCCGGGTTAAAAAACTGATTCGGCGGTGGACGGTATACGGGTGGGCCTGGTGGCGGGGCATAAGTTGACGGTGGTGGCGCGTAAGTTGAAGAAGGCGGCCCATATGATGAAGACGAGGACGTCCAAATCCCGGGTTAAAAAACTGATTCGGCGGTGGACGGTATACGGGTGGGCCTGGTGGCGGGGCATAAGTTGACGGTGGTGGCGCGTAAGTTGAAGAAGGCGGCCCATATGATGAAGACGGAGGTGTGTACGTCGACGATGGAGGCCCATATGTTGAGGACGGAGGTGCGTACGTCGACGAGGGAGGGCCATAAGACGAAGACGGAGGAGGTGCGTACGTGGACGAAGGCGGGCCATACGAGGAAGACGGAGGAGGTGCGTACGTGGACGAAGGCGGGCCATACGAGGAAGAAGGAGGAGGTGCGTACGTAGAAGACGGCGGGCCATACGAGGAAGACGGCGGACCATATGAAGACGAAGGAGGCGCATACGTAGATGAAGGTGGACCATATGAAGACGAAGGAGGCGCATACGTAGATGAAGGTGGACCATATGAAGACGAAGGAGGCGCATACGTCGATGAAGGTGGGCCGTAGGAAGATGAAGGGGGCGAGTAAGTGTTAGCAGGAGGCTGATACACAGGTGGACTAGTTGTGGTCACCGGTGGTCTGTAGGTTGGCTGAGGATTGAAGTAGATCGGCACAAAGTAAGGATTGTAAACGGGTGGACGGGACGGTGGCCGCAGATAAGTGGGGACTGGGGTCGTAGAGGAGCCGTAAGATGGCAAAGGTGGGCCATATGAAGTAGATGGTGGACCATACGACGAAGAAGGAGGTGCATATGTTGACGTAGGCGGAGGACCATAGGAGGAAGAAGGAGGCGCGTAAGTTGATGACGGAGGTGGACCATAAGAGGACGACGGAGGAGGCGCATACGTCGATGGAGGTGGACCGTAAGATGACGGCGGAGGTTCATACGTCGATGGAGGTGAACCATAACTGGAAGGCGGCGGTTCATATGTTGACGACAGAGGAGGCGCATAAGTTGACGATGGTTCCTCATACGTTGAACTCGCACCGCTTGAAGAATCTTCGAAACCAACATTATTTTCTGCCAAGGTTTGCTGAATGTTACTCTGCAAATCGTGTACGTATTCCTGGCCAGATGTATTGTCAAATGCAGAGGATCCGAGAACAGACAGGAGGTTGTTCAAGGAAGGATCATCTTGGACAGAGGATGATGCGGAATCCCGAACAGCGTTCGCTACGAGTTCGTTGAGACGAGACGTCTCTGCTGCATATTCTGCTCCGTTCGAATCAAGCGCAGAAACGTAAGCGCACTTGATGCATAGCAAAACAATTATCACAAAACTTCGCTCCATGTTTGACCTGAAATCAAATGAGATAAAAATAAAACAAGATCAGACATAGCCCAACCAATGCATAATGAATGGTTACACCGATGGTGAGAGGATAGACTACAGATAGCTGGGTAGAAACAGAAAATTAGAAAAAATTACTCGATTCTCGTCTCATTTTTAGTATAGTGTATTAGTTTTGATTGGAACATTTCAGAGAAATACTGTAGCTAATTTGAAGTAGAAATTGATTATCCGTCCTCGTCATAGAAAATTATTAATTATCCAAGTTTAGTTTCAACGTTACTGTAGGTTAGTTCTACTTCGGACAGATACGACTTCAAGTGGAACTGTAAATTAGGAAAACACACTCGAACGAATCAAGAATCATTTAAAAACTGCAATGGACTTCCAACATCAGCTCGTATTCGCACACGAGAGGGATATTTAGGACCTGCTTTTCACGACAACGATCACTCACTGATGCTTCACAGAACAGGAACGGTCGAGGGTCTTCGTCGACCAAGGACAAACCAACTGTCCTTGCATCGGAACTTTCTCAAAACGCTGTTTGTTTAGCCTTCGGGAAGATTACATCACAAAAGAGCATCTTAACTTGATCTCACCTAGTCCGGCCGGTTTTTCATCACAGACGAGTAAATTCCATGAAGCCGGTGAACTGAGAAAATTAAAAAACGGCGTATCAACAAAGAAACGAACATACCGGAGGGCGCACAGAAAAACCGTGAGAGAAGAACTAATCCTTCTTAATCCGCCTGTGGGTCGGCTCCAGTGTTCGCAAGACTCAATCTTGCCAACAGAAATTTTACATCCTGTCCCCAAAAAATATCGGTAATCCTCTTTTCTTTTTTAAAATCCCATGAAAACCCCAGGGTTCCGACTTGATGGAATTGCTGTCACGCCATTCCTCATGAATTCCTTCCCGGGTTCATACCCAAATACGGTTTCCGAAGTATCCTTCGAAGTCGAAGAAATCATTTTCCAAGCTGAACGTCATGAGAAAAACCGAGCGAATAACATTTTGTCATGGAAACCGCGATCAATAGATTTCGAATTCAATCACATTACCGCTTTAAAGGCGCCAAGTATTACATCGCGAACATGGTTTTTTAAAATTTCGTAAAGTTTGCGTACGTGACGACGCGAAAAAAATCCGATTAAAATGGATGCGGGAATGAGCAGGGTCTCAATTCACGGGAGAAAAATACATGTAGTCGCAAACTGCATAACAGCTTACGAAATTCAGCATGAATAAGGGGGGGGGGGGAGGCTGCTCTACTCTGAGGCACGCGACTATATAATTGAGACTTATATAACCATATGAGCAGGGTAATTTCCCGAGGAACCGATAAGAAATAACACAAAAAAGGTTCACTTCGGTTTACTGGATTCAGAAGAAAGATCGCGAAGATCTATTCCGGTTTTCAGTTTTTTTTTTAACTCTTTCAACGACGTGAAGCAAGCATGCTCGTAAATAATATGCACTAGGACCAACGGTAAAAGCAACCATCTAAAACAGAAGAATACCACATTAATGATCAAGTTAGTAACGACCGACATAAGCCAGAAGATATTCGGTAGAGCAATGATGAGCAGTAACACAATGACAAAAGTCAACAACTGGTTGATGCGCAACGAACGTTGCTGTTCCTCTCTTCGCTGAGCCTCTTATCGTTTCTTATAAGCTTCGATTCGCTCATACACTTCAACAACTGAAGCGACCCTGGATACCACAGCAGTCGCTAAAAAGAAATAGGACCGCTAATCCGAGGCGATGCCAGATGAATTCGCGTATTAATCATCAGGAAAATGACACTCACCACCATAAATGAATGGCAAAATCATGCTTCCCGAATTCAGCACTACGCTCTCGAACGTTGCGGACGCATATCAGCTGCCTTTCTGCGCGGATAAACACTTCCTGGATCATTCAATCACGTGCTTCACGGTTAGAAGATACGCAATTAAGCGAGATTAAAAAAGAGAGGACCACGCATTTGACACAAAGGCAAGAAATCTGAGTCAATTTCTCGTTCAAACCACCCTCTGTACGGAAAAATGATGACGGTATTATACTTTAATTTAAACATATTTCCGGAGTTTCTTGTTGCTATTTGCTTGCTTAAAAATTATGAGCTTTCAGAGCCAATTTCCATGAAAAACAGAAGATAAAATAGATCGTAGGTTTTAGTTCAAACTACAGTATTAATTTCAATTTATATTTGAAATAAAATATTTTTGACGGTATAATTCTAAATGTGACTTCTTTCCTTGCAAACTTTTCTACCATCTAACGAACATTTCAGACCTTAAATGACCATAACAGAGGAAAATTCGTCTCCAAAGTGCTCTTTCTATCTTTCAAATGAACGCCATACCAATTCATGCACGGCTGAACGAATCGTATAATGATAGCCCGAGTTTTGCGCGCATTACTGGTTTTATTTATCCCTCTTCCACAGCATAATAAAGAAGGGATAACTTGGCGGCTGCAGAACTCAGCTTTCCTACACCAGTTCCTCTTCACAAAAAAAGTTACCCAGAAAAGCTGAATTCTGCGCGGTTTTTTTCCTTCGACGCTGCATTTGATAAATGGCAGACGAAGGAAAAAAACTATATATTACTAACTATATAGCTATATACTGTATATATAAACTAACTATATAACTATATCCAACGCTCACCGGAGGTGAGCGTTGGATTCAGTGTAGAACACTGAATCCACATTTCGTAAAAAAGAAAAAATTAAACTACGCATACCTCAGCTTTGAAAAAAATCCGTGTAATGGCTAAAATCATGAAGAACTACGGAAAGAATTAACTAAGAGAGTTAAAACTCCTCGACACGGCGTTATCGCAGTTTCATTCCAAGAACAGCTTTTTCGACAGAGTGGAAAATGAACAAAATTGTTCGAAAGGAAAAGGGGAACAACGGAGCACCACCATAAAAAAATGTCACCATAAAATAGCGTCGGGTAGTGACCAAAACATTTTGCTCAGCATTATCGAAACAAAAATTCAGAAGAGAAGAGACGAGTCAGCCATCATTGGAAACAACAAATACATTCCCTTGTTCGTTACGCGTTCTCGACATCAATGTCATTTTGGTCAAAACTTCTTCCTTCTTTCAATCATGCGACCCGACTTGGAGACCCGGGGCTAGGAGACAAGAAAACAAAAAAACAAAAGCCCAATTCTTACGATCACGACTCCTTCCTTTCGCTTTTGCACTGACGGCACTGTCTCGAATGCAGGATTTCTAAAAATTCCTCCCAAGGAAAATCCGATTAGGCGCACATTCCACACCACGAATTTCTTGAAAGCCGAGCTTTAGGTAGAATTCCCGCTGACGGGCATCTTCTCGAGCCAACTCCGCAAAAGAACCGAAGACTCCTATGAAACAGAAAAATGCCTCACATATCGTCGCCATATCTTGCATTATTAAAAACTGATACTCATGATAACACAGATAATGGGTGCCTCGCAGAATAGGGTAGGTTTTCCGCATTAGTAAAAAAAAAAGCCGACATGAAGAGTTTTTTTTAATTATTTATTCAAGTTGCTGCGAGATGTATGATGTCAAACATGAAAAAAATTGTGGGAATTTAGTTCAAGAGTCGACCAAATAAATTTCAGAGGATTCTTGAATGATCCACACGTTGAGTTGAAGCATTAGGAAATCTTTAATTTTACAGTTGAATTCAAGTTTCTTTACACGTTAGGAAATCGATTGACTCCACAGTCTATACGAATGAAATAATCTAAATAATTCTAAAATAATTCTTTTTTAAATAATCATTACCAATAGTAGTTCCTCAATAAAATCCAAAAGCTTCAGAGAACTTGACGGCTACACGTGTTTACGCTAAAAGCAATTACTTTCTTCTACAAAACATCCATTCGTTTGAAGAAGTTACGCCAATGCATTTGCATATAAACAAACAATAATTTGATCAAGACGTTTCTCAGTTCTTCACATCAGGATTTGCTCTTCTTAATGAAAATCAGCGGAACTCCCTCGTAATACCAGCCACATTCTAGTTCCAAGGCTATTGATCGCCCATTTGAGTCTCAGTGCGAACCGGACTCTTTGTAAAGGTACCCAACCAAGAGCCCCCCTAGGTCAAAAGCCCCCTAGGGGGCTTTTGGCAGGGGGGATTTTGACCTAGGGGCGGCTTTTGGACTACACCCCTTCGTAAACAATATACAGTGAGTTCAAGTAAACTTTTTAAATACTGTATATAAATCACCAAGTCGTCAGTGGCTGCAATGGAATCGTTTTCTTCTGCACCTCGAAACTAAGCTTACCATTCGATCTCAGCGCAGCCATCACACACGTCACGAGCTTCTTCGGCAACGACATGTCTATCACGGAAGACAGGACACCAGCTCTCACGGTGGCCGGGTGCAAGGACAACACGGGTCTCGGCACATTGGGTGCGCAACAAGAGTCATCAGCGTGTAACTGCTCCAGACTTTCCTCCAGCGGGGCAAGCATCAAGTCTTCCTCCACCCCGTTCACCTTGTCATCGTCATCCACCGGCATCGACTCTGTTCCTCCGGAATAACGAGCGCAAACGTCCTGCGGGATTTTCCTGGGGTACTTCTGGCGAAGTCGGGGTACCCAAGATGACTCGAGTTTCGCGCGGAATGCGTCATAGTCGGCGGCGCCGGCGAGGAATCCCACTATTTCTCCGTCCTCAGATTCAGCGACGAAACACATTTCGGAACACAGGGCTAAAAATCCCCCGATCAGCCTAAAAAAAAAATCATCGGAATTTCGTTACGAATTAGGTATTCAACCGGACTGATTAGTACTGCAATTATATGAGTTGCCCGGTTCAATAGATGGCATATGTTTAATTCATATTAAGAAAGCACAGCACATCACAACGTTAACTGAGCAATAGAAATGCCACGTAAAATGACTGATGGGTTTTAGAACCCCCAAGTACCCTAGCCTCGCAACGTAATGCTACAGCCCGAAAAAAAATTTTCTCAAGAAATTTCCTCCATGAAGTTTAAAATTAATTTCTGAATAAATATACGCTTAAACGAGCAATAAAAGGTATTGTAGCGGACTTGGTCAAAGATCAAGAATATAATTTTCAGCCTCTTCAAAAAATTGGTGACCGGTCACCTGAATTCTCAGAGTAATTAGTCATTATTTTTATGGAAAACCCCTTTTTATGCTGTCTACAATCCGAATCAAAAGTAGGTGGCGGTCCTAGCTCATAGTGTGAAAAGTTCAACACCTGAGGCATCGACAGTACTATCTAATTAACACAGTATGCATAGTACTCAAATTGAAAATGCAACGCTTTCATGCTTTACGCTCAATCAACTCAAAACGAGAATTTCTTTAGCCATGTAAACTGGTATCGCCTCAAATATATCCCATTTCGCTAAGATTTGGTAGTCAATTAATTTGAGGAACTTCAAAATTAACAATTAAAGATGTAAATTTTTTTCAGAAGGCCCTTCTCTACATCTATACGGAATTGGAATACGATCATATGTTATAAATTTTCTTACTTATCCGGGAGCACATCTGGGAATTCCTTGAACACTTCGGGCATTTCGTGACCATCGCTGCATGTCAACCGACAAACATTGTACACTCCCACTTCGTCGCTACTTCTATACGGCCTAACAGAGTAGATCTTCGTTCCAGGCAAGTCCGGCACAGGGTACACGAACAACTCGTTTGGAGAGTCGACAGGAATCAATCTCTAGATATATCGCAAAAAAAAACCATTTTACAAACGTTCACGGGAGAAAGAAACGAATCTAGGAGTCGAATGATCAGATAGGGATCACCACCTGAAGATCTCCAGTGAGTCCACCACGAAATACCCACGGCTCCTGATCCCCACCCGTGAAAGCGTCCTTCCATCCCTTGGCAAACCACGTATGAACTCCGGTCACAAAATTTATAAAATTTTCAGGCAAAGGGATTGTACCTGAAATTATACAAAACGCGTCAATCAATAAATCAAGTCTGGACATTCATGCATCAACGAAAGAAAAAAAAAATCGACCTTCCAACATGATGACATATCACCACAAAATCATAAGGTAACGCAGTCAAGTTTCCAACACTTATTAAAAGTAAAACAAAAAAAATACAAGAGAAGTCGTTCTTACCAAGCCACATAATATAAGCGTTCAGCAAAGATAAAATCCCTCGCATGTCCCAAATGTAAGGATACAAAGCATGGACGAGAGATTTGTTTGGAATACTTCGAATTTTGCGTAATAAATGATTCATGCGCTCGGTCATCCTTCCAAAGTTTTCAGCGCGTTCAAGCCATTCTTGCGCCTAAAAAAAAGAAAATATATATTTATACTGGGGGATTCACTCAAACCTTACCTCGATCATACCAACGACTCGACACGTTTTATCAGAAAACTTTTAAAAGAAAAGCAGGATTTTAAATCAGGATGATGTGAAAAAATTGAACACGGGCTTAAAATCAGTAGCCTGCAACAGAATTTTGAGACAGCCCAAATAAGTCACACGCTGATGTTAGTGCACAGATAGGATTCCAGATTGCTTAAGGCTGCGAAAATTTCGCAGAAGATCATTTACATTTTTAGTTTGATGAACGAAAAACACCAATCATCAACAAAACAATTACGGCATATATTTTACAATCTGATACGTCGAGCGATCAAGACGTCAATTTCTCATATTTGCTCAATTAAAAACGGAGAACACGGATTTCATTTGCAACAGCAAAATTTCCTTCCATTTGCCTCCGGAAATATTCAGATGGAAAAAAACTTAAAATTACACCACCTGCTCCCTACACCTCAAAATTGAAAAAAGAAAAGAAATAAATAAAAAAGCGAATCGCGTCAGAATTTTCTTGCGGAAAATGACAACACTCACTTCAGGTTTCACAGCCCCATGAACACCACGATCACGTAACGCTTGCCAAGTCCTCGCCTCCATCGCCAGATTCGCATTCGTCTTCAGCCAATGAAACTCAGACAAGAACTTGATTCCAAGCGGACCGTGTTCGTGTGGCAAGTAAAATGCGTCAACCAGCAACCGAACTTCATCTTCCGTCATTCCGTCCTTCATCGTCGTGTTCAAGTCTACCATCTCCTCATCCTTCGCTTCCATTCCGTTATGTACTGGCAAGGAAGGAGGCATGCAGACCGGAACCAGCGACGGTGGAGGCGGCAATGGAGCCAGGAGAACTTCGTCTGACGACGCCAGAGAATTCATCATTGGTACAGAAACAACTGTGTTCACAACTGCAGCTTGGGCAACCTGTAGGGATAAAACCATTTGAAAATATTTTCAAGCACGGCAGGTTTTTTTTTGGCACAAAATCACAACACAATTGGTGCTTTGATATTGCGGTAATTCAAAGCGACATTTCCCCCTCTGGAGCTCATTAAACATATCATCTCTCAAACCAATGAATAGAAAGTTCCCCCTAAAAAATAATTCATCCAAGTATTCAACGATTATTTTTTTTTAGTGCATTTTCTCTCGTCGAGAATGAAGGCGAAATTTTGTTCACTCAAATATAACCACCCCTAGATGTTTCATACAAAAATTTAAAATGACATTAATAAACAAACATAAGCACCCAATTACTTTCCAGGAACCGAAAATTTTGGACTAAATTTAGGTTTTTCCGGAGAAAAGGAAAAATGAAGTCAAACAACCCTCGCCCTTCCCCTTCAGTCAATGATTCGTGTACTTTATCTAGAAGCGTTAAAAGCTAACCACTTCTTGATCATTTTCTAAAATTCAATTCCAAAAGATCTTCAGAAAAGAAGTGCTCCATCGTCATGTGGGCCGCGAACAGGAAGATTACCTGATATAGACGCACATTTACGCGAATTGCTTAAATATGCGAATATCAGTACCTACATCGTTTTCGAGCTACAAAAACGAAGGAAAACTACAGCAAATTATTATCCCTTATTATTGAAAAATAAGGGATGCTTATGCTGTATTAGCGTCAATAGGGTAACTCACATCCACCTCCACAGGAGTGAGCTCGTTAGCAACTGGCAGTACAGGATTGACTGGCGGAAGGGCGACTTGAGTAGGAACAGCAATCGAGGGCACAGGCACTTGCACACTGCCAGCTATGGGAACAGGTACTGTATTGGCACTCGCAACTCCTATGTTCAAACTAAGCCCAGGGGCTGCCTTCTGAACAGAAAACTCCGATGTCCATTCCCGAACGGCAGTCCTCAAAGCTCTCCTGGGATGATAAACACAGTCGGGCAGGTTTCCCAATTCCTCCTCTTCGCCTTCGGTTTCTAACCGGGACTCCACTGTCAGAATTGCAACAAACAAACCAATTTGTAGTTTTTTCTCTGTCACCTTGAAATGCTCCATGATTTCTCCTACTACAGTACATATATATGACTATATTTAATTCAAGCAAGTCATTGAGGTAGAGTAATTTTCATTTCATGCAATTCCTCGAAGAAGGATCAACTTTTCATTCCAAGTGATTAAACTGAGAGCACGTTACTATTTTAGCGGTCAACAATACTTCTTGTGGTCAAGACGTTTACGGCCTCACGAGAGCCACTTTTTGACGTAGGATTCGAAATGTGAACGTATAGAGAGTTCTTATCAGTATCCGCTAGATTCAATAGAGAATATTACAGCGGAAAAATTTGTCGAAGCCTGAAATAAATGGTATTTTTCTTTGCGGCATTCGAATGCTAAGATACGAGTTAACAAAAAGTATATAGGTATGACATCTGGACAACAGTAATTTTCAAAAAGTTAATTTGTGAATTGATTCAGGATTTCTAAAAAACGCGTGACGACGGAATTGGCAGTCGAGTAAAACTATCTTTTCGTCACTGGAGGTGTATTTTTCTTGGATCCCAAGAAGACATCTGCAGCATTACAGAGCGAAAATTCCATATGCTTAAAGGGAAAAAATATTACTTGATAAACCCCATGTGGTGAATTACTTACAGCAATCGTCTCGGACATCACCGCTACATCGGGTCCACTGAGCAAGGGTGTGAATTCCCACAAAGTTGCATTCGTATTCACAGTTTGGGTTCGTTAAAACACCACGAAGCCGACGTAAAACGGCCGGAGCACGTCCGCAATACGGACCGAGATAAAGCCTCTTCGGGTCGTAGTCATTTGCATGAATGTTGTCCCATATCACAGGATACCGAGCGAAAACTTGATGCAACTCTTCCAACGATTCTCCCGTGATTTCCTTTGAAACAACTCGAGGTCCTAAACGGTGAAAAGTTCACAAGATCTCTTCGTTCATTGCATTCCTTCAGATCATTAAATCGTTATTTCAGAAATCAGAATTTTCCGTCAGTTCCACGCGACATCGAAATATCGTCATCATCCGTTGATGAGACGACATAGCATTTCATTGCCAAGAAAAATTTCGTTGCCAAAAAAAGTATCCTCGCATGAAAAAAAATTACAATGAAGTACTAATTATGAAAAAAATCGTAATTAGAGGTTATTTATGATTTGCAGGAAGAGCTGGAAATAAACTTTTATGCTGAAGTCCTTCAACCAGGACTACTGATTATGAACAGGGTCGGGATAATGATCAAACTTGACTGAGTTACAGTCATTCAATAAATTATTCAAGAGGGAAGCGCATTTTAGACAAAACTTACAACCACGTTTGGCAGGTGGCTGAAAATCAATAGAAAAATTTTAATTGTCTGCATGAGTTTGCTGCACATTTGAAAAGAACCTTGGAAATACTTCGCAAGATCGGTTACCTGTCCACATGATATCGATGCTTCTTTCGAGCTTAGACCCAATTGTACGCAAGTATTCGGACGTGGGAACATCCGGCACAGCCCTTGAAGCGGAATACTGAGTCGGACAAAAAAGAAACCGCTTTCTCCCCAGATGCTCGAAGATCTCGTTGGTCACAGAAACTTGGGCATGAGCGAACGACTGGAACACTTCTTTGTCGCCGTCAGACATCTCCGATAGGATATCGTCGAACAGCAAAGCGAAAGCTTCGCAACCGAATTCAGCAACCTAACATTTTTTTTAATAACAACCTTTGTATCATTTTACAGAAAAAAAGGGTGGCGAATAACAACGAAAATCTTACGCGCTTGCACCAAATGGAACTCGATGACAATCTTTCATGAAAAATATGACCCGGAGTTTTCGTTTATAAAATCTATTACTTTTCTGTTTTCTAATACAAGATTAAAGCTGAACTTATTCAAAGTATCTCAGGCTATTTTTCTCTCATCGATTTTCCGCAACGACGAAAACGTCACAATTCTAGGGGATGAAATCGGAAACTTGGTCTCCTTACATCTTCAAGAGAAATGAACTTTATGAAAATCCCCGCCGTATCAAAAACAATATTTGAAGAAACGTAAGAATATGGTGCATCGAACCTCATCTCTATTTAGGCTGTATCAACGCGGTGCCCTACAAACATCCCGATTAGTTTGATGGTTCAACTTCAAGTACATCATTCAACATTAATTTTAAGCAAAGCTATCGAGGAAGTGCTGTACCTGATCCAGCTTACGCTTGAGAATCGCCAGTTCTTTCTGAGATGAATAAACGATGTCCAAGCCGGGCGAAACTTCAAGTACATCATTCAACATTAATTTTAAGCAAAGCAATCGAGGAAGTGCTGTACCTGATCCAGCTTACGCTTGAGAATCGCCAGTTCTTTCTGAGATGAATAAACGATGTCCAAGCCGGGCGACAAGGCATAAATAAAAAGTATGTTGTGTTCTTTGGCTGCAGAAATAAGTGCACGCAAATGCTCTGCTTCGTCCACAGTGTACTGCTCTCGCCAATAAGCCCGATGCTTATAATCATCTTTCGGCGCGTACAAGTACGCGTTCATGCCCCATCTTCCCATTCTAAAAAAAAAAACAGAAGATGAGTCAGCGAGAATATGCTTTTCAGCAAAGTTGAGTCAGATTCGGGTTGTAACGGTGTACAGCGGTAACCCGGTAAATGGATACCTCGCATAACGGTCTTTCCACACAATGGACTCGACTGTCGCTGACTCGATTTTGATGGAAGACTGCATACAACGTCATTTTCTTTCATAAAAATCAAAGCTTTTACAGGGAATGAGGACGTTAGCATAGTTTTGAAGCGGGTAGATTTTTCATTTCGTATTACAGAATGTATTCTTCATTATACTGTATTCTTTGCTTCCGACAATTATTACAGCTAATTCATGTTGAATAATACATCTGACCATTTAGTAATTCATTAAAGGACAATTTCAAGAGACCTAGAATGAATTGAACATTCCTTACAGTTTTACATTAAGTATACACTTGAATAATATATTACAGCTAATTCATGTTGAATAATACATCTGACCATTTAGTAATTCATTAAAGGACAATTTCAAGAGACCTAGAATGAATTGAACATTCCTTACAGTTTTACATTAAGCATACACTTGAATAATTGTCCCTATTTCTTGATGTCAGCATGAATAAGAGCGGAAGAAGCGTAACATACTACGGGCGACATCTTGACAGTTACAAAAAAGGTATGGAGCATCAGACGGGAGTAAAAAGAACACTCACTTGACGAACAAGTCCTTTCGCTGTTCAGGAGTCCATGGGCGTCCATAGAAACCTGAAAACGGCGAAAACCATCAACCACGGAAAATATCTTCAAGCTATTTTTTTTTTAATTAAAAAAAGAATTATAGGTACAGTAATATGATCTTTCTTCACGTACCTTCCACAACACCACTGAGAAAATTGGCATCAATCGAAGAAACATTCTTTGACTTCCCAATTCGATCAAACGGCTCATCCGCTTCCATTATTTGCACTCTTACACAAAACGAACACCTACGAAACGCAGAAGTGAAAAATTATGTTATCAAAACGAAGAGTGGATTACATGATTAAAAAGTCACAGAGAAACGGGGACCTCAACCTGGAAAGAAGGCAAAGCGACTCAAATTATTTTCGCCATAGTCATTACAAATTGATCATTTCAACAAATTAATCTTTCGCTCAGACGGAACCATTTGAATAGCCTCGAAGACGCGATCAGTCAAATGTATGTTTTCTAAATCAGAAATATTCTAGCTTAGACATTATTGCACGAGATCTTCATTTGGCTGGTTGTACGTTTTTTGATCTGGCATTTTGTTTGCATATAGCAAGTGCATTGATTTCTAATTAATTTTCAAGTGTAAATGACAGCTAGTTAAATTACGGTAGTGAAAATCTCCCTCACTAATTTAATTCTATCATGCGAGCTTCGTACATTCCGAAGCTTCACAATTTTTAGCTTCATTTCACGGAGATGCCCGAGGGCATTTTTCGAAGTGAGCAATATTTGTGGGTCAAAAAATTCCATCAAGGATTTGTATGTCCCTAAACAAAGCTAAAGAAATTCCATGCCTCAGCGGGAATTTCACCCCACCAGCTTCTTCAACCGTATTCAAAACAGACCCCGCAAGAAACGACTAAACGTTTGAAGTCTAATTAGTCGGACACGCTGCAAACGCGAGAAGCGTTTCCAACAACAAACGCTGACCATCCACGCGCGCCAGATTCACTTTCATCCAATTGTTCTCAATTGCTCACCGCGACGCCAACAACAATGTGCGATATCNACCTCTGCGAGAGGAAGATAACGTCACATCTCCAGATGGCGAAGAAGCAGAGCCGACATTCGAAAGCTTTTTCGGTAAATCAGGCGACGAGCACCCGGAATTTCCCGACACGGATTATTTTGTAGTCGGTGGCGAGAAAACAAGGGATGACAGGGGAGACGAAACGGGCTTTCCCTCGTACAAAGAATTTGAGGACGATAATCCGGACGATTACACAGACACGGGTTCTCCGGACGATTATGAACAAGAACCCGCAAAGAACCCGGAGAAAACGGAAACAGAGGAGCCACAGGACCCAGAATCGTCTACATTAAGTGCAGGTAAGCCTAAATACAATACTGTACTGAATTAACGAAAACCGTACGTCATTAGTCAAATTACTGTATAAGACGCACTAGCTTTAATTTACACTTACAAATTGATTAGAAACCAATACGCTTGGAAATGCTCAAAAAATGCTTGATCACGAAACGTATCAACATACAACTGAATATCTCGTACAACTCAGATCGAAAATTCCTTCCTGCGCGGGAACTACACGTGGATTCTATCTACAACAATTTCCTCTAAATAAAGAATTTTTTTTGCTCCATAAGGATATCACTTAGAGGTTCTCTACACCAGAGTTCTCGAAAAATAATGTTTTATGGGCACCAGAATTTTTTTGTAGAGAGAATCCACAGGCATTGAAAAGCATGACCTGGACCATGCAGAGAAATGACGATTTAAAAGATGAATGCAAGAATCTTCAAAATTTTCAGAAGTGACGCAGTCATAATACTTTTGCCAACTTGCAATAAATTCACCCGATAGAAAATTAAAAGAGAGCATTCATCTGCAGATAATGAGTATTCACGACAACGGTCACGATCTGCTATCCAAAATGTTGGGTACTATTCTTTCAACAAATACGGAAAAAAATGGTTTATATTTTTCCTAAACCACAAATTTACATCGATTCGTATTTCATCGCTTCACAAAATAATAGTGCGTCTCGATTTTTGATGTATCAAAAAGATTCTACGGCAATAGCTCGAATATCTCAACAACTACGCTGCAATTTTGACAGATGACGATCATCGAGATCCCGTCGACCCAACGAAAAAAACAACTTCTCAACATTCCGTAAGAAACGACGCATTGACTGAGGCAAGGAAGCCAAAAACGACGCCTCAAACCACTCAAGAAGACGTACATCGTCAAATAACGAACAAAGCTGTCAATCTTCCACCACAACCACCCCAGTTCCCAGCACATCATGGAATGTACGCGCGAAACTCGAATCCTTCGCAACAAAAAAAAGAAATTCAACACAAGGTAATGCCACGAAAACGGGATCCCAAGGCAGAGGGTTTCGTGCAGCCCATCAGCTTCGCCAAGTTCATCCAGCAAGCGAAAAGCAGGCCAAAATACAGTGCACAACACAACGTCAAACACACACAACTCCCGCGGAAACATTCAAATCAAGGCACGAACACTTCATTTCGGGGAAATTACAACACACGCGTGCGTAGATCAACGCATTCAAAAATTCAAAAACGGATGAGCGAAACTCAGACTGGAACCAACACTGATTATTTTGCTCCACTAAAAAGGAACTCGAATGCGGCCAAGTTCACGCAGCCCATCAGCTTTGCCAGGTTCATGCACCAAGTAAAAATCAAACCGAAATCTCACGTCCAACACGATAAAACGGAACACTGGGATTCACCAAGCTTCCACTGGAATCAAGACACAGAGATACGCGTACGGAGATCGACGACGCATTTGAAAACCCGACCGATGGCTGGGGAAATTACGACAGGAAACCAAACTGATTCTCTCCAAAAATTGAAAAATAACACGAACATGGAAAATTTCGTACAGCAGATCAGCATTGAAAATTTCAATAAGAACTATAAGGGCAAACCGAAATCCAGAGAACACGATGAAACGAAGAACGTGAAAATGTTGGCACCAGGATTCCATTCAAACCGTGGAAGGCTGAACATGACACTAGAAGGCAACGACAACAAGCGACTTCACAGATTCAACACAACCCCAGAGACCAGACGATACACGAATGGAAGTCTGACTGGAATCAATTCGGATCCTTCTTATCAAAGACTAAAAAATTGGAACTCTGACACCTCAGTTAAATTGAAATCCAATGCAGACGTTACGAAGAAAACTGGCTATAAGATGGATCAGGGCAATTTCAGCACGTCACTTGGAGGAAACCACAAAAAACACGTGTGGAGATCGACGAAAACTTCAGAAATCCAAAGAAGTAACACGGATCCTTCAAGAAGACCAAAATCCGAAACACAACACGGTATAAAACACTGGGAGTCACCGAGGGCTCGAATGAAGCAAAACACGCCTAGAGAAAAGCGAAGCAAACGCAAGCGAAGATCGACGACACATCAAGACATTCAAGTTAATGAAACATTGCCAAGAAAGAGCACATATTCTTCGTCAAGACTAAAAAGAGACTCCGGTTTCGTTCCACCACTGTCCTTCCCTTCCTTTTTCGAAAGCGAAATTTCCCCGGGAGAAGCTAACCTAGGGCCGCCTTTGCCCAATGCGGGAGCACAAATCGCATCTGGTCTCAATTTCATTTCACAGAGAGAAACCTCGGGAAAAGTATCACATCCTCAGAATTCGAACAGAAACTATCCCAAGAAACCGTTCCAAGAGACCAATAATAACCTGGTTCACCCAACACAAGGTCCTCGAACGTACGGGAGTCGACAGAGGAATCGACATCGACAAAACAATGCCCCTTGGACACCACCAGTGATGCAAAATTTCCACTCTCTTCCTGATGCTACGGAAGTTCTTCGTGTTACTACGCCACCATCCACTACGACGACGACGACAACGACGACTACAACGGAATCGGAAGTTGACGACGAGAGGGAACCCGCAGGATGTATGAAAGTTTACAGAAGGTCAGGAACTCAGGCAAGCGTCTCGGCTGAAATACGGACAACTGCACGACCGAATCGGGACATCGACGAGTACGATGATCCGGAATTCGACAGATTCAGAAGACGAAACAGGTAAAAAAATATATACCAGAAGCACCTCTGGTACACAATTCAGAAAATCTCGCAAACGTAGGTTGACCAAGTACTCTTTCCAGATAAATTCAAACGGGATTATTGGGTTACACGTGAAATTTGAGAACTCACCATTCTGCTTTTTTGCGGCTTGAAGCAATTCTTTTAAATTATCCGCATAGCTGCTCCTGATTTTGAAACATCTAAATGCGTTCCATCCAAAATTTGAAATTCTGCACTCCGAAATTGATTCCAGCCCTTTCCTACCAAAACTTCAACCCCATATGAAAATTCGAGGATCAATCTTTGAAAATAATAGAAAAATTCGCTTTTCCAGCATCTTGCAAGCACAAAGGTCAAAACGACAAGCCAATCCAGAGAGCCAGATCCTCGTCTGCTACCTTTGTGAAACCTCAACCGGAGAATTTGACGAAGACTGTCGCTACATTGACTACGACCCCGCAGCTCTGGAAAGAGAAGCAATTCCACTCATCAAATCTAACCTAGTTCCTTTTCAAGCGGGAGGACGAGATGCATATTCAAGAATGACGACATCAAGACCAAGGCCCAGGAGACCGACTCGAAGACCGGTGAATGCCACTAGAAGTTCACGGGACCCGGACGAGGCAGAGTTCGAAGACTTCGACTTCGATGATCAGCAACCAACACGGGTAACGAGGAAAAAATGCTACCCAACATGACATTCCCACGGAAACAGGATTTCATAATTTCGAACAATGACGAAGACGCTGAAATGGCCGATTTAGTGAGCTCTGCGTCCGAAGATATGATTTCCTCAAGGCAACACATTGATTCAACGTTTGAAGACATACCAATGGAACACCGCTCAAGTAATGATTCGAATTTATATTAAATTATAACATAATACTGTAAAGTACAATCAAACAAAAAATGTTCACAATACCGCCCTACTTCTCTATCTGTGTTGAACCTTTTTTCAATATTCTTGAAGCACTACCGCCGTAACACTGACAATGACATTAAACAAATTCTGCAAAAACATAGCCTAAGTACACTAGCTCTAGCTCAACCTCAATTCAAATTGGTTTGAAATCAAACTCATAACCAGCCTTTCGGAGGGAGAGCCAATGCAACTGAACACTTACCTAATATTGAAGTCATAAAAAACACAACAAAGACATGACGAATGCATCTCCATGTTTGAGTCAAGTAGCAGCAAGAACAAGCAGAACATCAGAAGAAAGTCAGAAAAAAAAATTCAATTTCCTCAACTCCGTTTACCGCAGAATCGTAATAGAATCTTTCACGAGGGTTGAAAAATGGACAGGTGGATGAGGAAGCTCTGCGAGCGAAGTTTATACAGTGCAGAACTTCTCAGTATAATTTTATCAAGGACCCACCAGTGCGTAAATCTTTCAGTTCAGAAATGATGCTTCCGTTCGTGAACAGAAAGACTTGAAAATATTTGACTCAAAGAATAGGACTGTTCGATCATCTCTCGTTTTCTTGAATAATTCAACGATCGCGAAAAATGACTGAAGATAGAAATGCGGGTTCAATAATTCGGCAAACGGAATAGCCCCCGTTATCTTATTCACCAATCATGCTGACTCATAACGTCGTTCCTTCTACACCCCGAAATACAGCACGAAGTCCGAAAATTTTTTACACCTGCTACTAAGAACATACAAGCTGCCACACGGCACCGAAACGGGAGCGGAATATAATTCTGCTTCTAAGTGTTCCCAATTAATGTTCCGTCGGCAAAAAAAATCAATCAATTTATCTGAGTTGAAATACGGTTCAGATTGGGGTCATCCAATTCACAGCGCTTTGCGAAAATACTGTTACAAAAATTGTACGCCATTTCTTCCATCCGATTAACATTTCAATCCAACAAAAAAAACAGGCAGTTCTTCAGACAAGATCATGAGAAGAGAAACATCTGGGTCAAGAATTCCAAAAATGTTCCGATCTCTACGAAGGATGCTCAAAAAATATCAGAAGCCGCTCAAGGGAATCTCCGACACGCTCAAAGACAGCTTCAAGTCAGCCTCTGAAGAAGTATCCTTGTTCAAGCCAAGAAGAAACAAAGAAAAGCGGAAGCGAAGCAAGAAATCTTCATCTAAAAAGCGCCGAAGGCGCAGAAACAAGAAAAAGCCCAGTGAAGGAAAGCAAAAGGGAAAGGGTAAAAGGAAGACGAAAAAATCATCCCCACAAACGACCTGATACCTTTTTGTTATCTTGAATATTTATGAGTACCTTGTTTACACTTGAATAATAAACGAAAATGTACATGCGTTAATTTTCACCATGGTTTTGCGGATTTTCGCCCAAGAAACAAAAACATGTTCCCATCCTAAAATCAGGAAATGACAGCATCAGACCAATTCAAGTTATCGCGTTTAAAACAGGATACGTTTCCCAATTCAAAGTAAAAAATAATCATGGTGAGTCTATAAGCACAAACAAAATATATCACACAAAATGCTGGTTTATGAGACGGTCGAAAATTCTAACTCATAAGTTCCTTGTGTCAATCCTTGAAAATCTTTCTTCCACCGAGGATACTCCTACTGTGAGATCTTGACTGAAAACTGACCATTTTAACTTCTCAAGTACAGTAAAAATGTAAGAAAGATCTCGACAGCTCTATTTTCTGAAGAAAAAAATTTCCGAATTTAATTGGCAGTCACGGTAATACACCTACTTTATTTTAATGTCGATTACAAGAGAACCAATGTAAATTTCTAGCTTCCGTCACTGTAATGGGTTCCGTTTGAGAATTTTACACTTCAGCGGTATTACTTGGTCTGCCCGGTAAAATGGATTCAGAGGCTAGAAATTTAGAACCAATCGCGTTTCAAAATCGTTCAAGCACGGACCTGTACTGAACGAAGCGAAAAAATTATCGGAACTTCTATCGAACTGGGGAACGTTACTTCAGCAAGAGGAAAATTTGGGTCAGCAAAAGGAATGCAATAAGGAAACTAGAAAGCCGACGCGAAATTTTAGAAGCTCACACACGCGATAAACTCGCCACTGATTTTCAATCCGAATGCGAACGTGATGCCTGAAAAGAGAATAAAACACAGTGAAACATGAGAAAACACGGTGGAAGACACGAATGATGACCGAAAGCAATGCGTTCAAAAAATTAGGAGGACACGAATGAAGACATCAGCTCGTACATTGTTTAATTACGTCACAAAAAAAGAGCTCCAAAAAAGTTTAACCATATTATTCCCTCTCGCCACAATATGTTCCGCCAACTATTACGAAGATCCATCAGCACAGACGCGGAAACAAAAATAGACAAAGAGAGGAAAACCGCCTCACTGCGAGCCGATCTCGGCGCCCGCTCCGCTTTACAATTCAACAACTGCTGAGAGCCGCTGGGGAAGTTCCTCGACGCTCACGAAACCAATAGTCCGCGGTGATCACAAACGTCGCAACTAAAAACGGGGGTTTTCTTTTCTTCTTCTGGAGTGGGAGAAGAGGCGCGGGGGGAAAGCCGCTGAATTTGATACATTCGGGGATTGTAAAAATAACGCCTTTGTGGTCAATCCAGAACAGAAAATCGAATGCTGCAGCAGGTCCGCAATGCTTGGAATCTTTCTTCCCTTTTACCTTCCTTCATTCTTCTATCTTTTTTCTTCTTTTTTTAAACTCCTGGCTCCAGCCGAGGAAGAACACCGTTGTTCAAGAATGATCCGGGTCCTTCAGAGTCTGCTGGCGTAGATCCTTGCTTTCCGCCGCCTTTTGCCTATCTTGCAATGACATTATCCTAATCCGAACATATAAAATGCAATTAAAACATCCGAAATATTCTTTCACTGCCTAATAAGGGTTGTGCACGAAGATAATGCGCATTGAGAAACAAGGTAATATGATTTTAAATTACTGTTACTGATGACACTGGCGGTTACATTCAAATTTTGGTATCGCATGATGTCATTGGTTTTCTTATTCCGCCCGAGTTAGCTTGAGCATCGCAACACGAACACGCAACGATTCATTAAATTCAAATTAAATTCCCAACGAACGATCTTTTCCTATGTTGTAACATATAAGGAATGCTTTTTCAACCTTCTGAACACATTTCCAAGCAATATCGGCGATTTTTGGCATGCGTTACACGTAAGAATTAGAACACACAAAAAATTCATATTTTCTTACGACTCAGTAATTCTTCTTCAAATCTTTAGGTGAAGAGAGAATACCAAGTTCTAAACCGCTGATACCCAAATCACATCCAAGATGGGCAAGAAAAATCCCGTTTCGTTCGCCGCCGTTGATTCGTCAAGGCATTCACATTCGGTGAATAATTACAGTTCAAAATACGTTGTATGACTTACCTCTGACACATCCTAGTAGATTGTATCTCAGCAACGCGGACCAGTGAGCGGTCCCGTTTCAAGTTCGAAGCACATTTGACCATTTGAACGTTACCAAAGTGATACATTTCAGCCCTTATCGCATTCAACTGCAAAAAAGGAAGATTTCTGTGAGACATCCCGCATTTTGTTTCCCAAAAGAATTTCGCAACAATCATTTTAAACGTTTCAGTTAATGCGATGAAAATAACGTCATCGGCTTATCCTCAACTTAATTCGAAAAATTAAATCATATGAGCGTACAGGAATGGAAAAAAGGGAAACCGGGAAATTTATTTCCACAAAGAATTATACGAACCAATCCATAGCTAGACAAAGGATTCAACGCGCTGAAATAATCCATAAGCGACGGCACATTCGATCAGTGATAGCACTTCACGAAGCAAACGTCCGAGACCTTACTCGGTGCAGTAATGATAATTCAAGAAGTTTTAGAAGAGAAACTTTGATTTTACGTCCACATTTCTCATTCAGAGGAGGAACAAAAATAATTAGCATATCGAACAGAATCCCACCCAGGCTGCTACAGTACTACTAAAATTCCAAATCAAGTACAAGCAACGCTAAACATTCACAGAAGGAAGTAAGAGATCGGATACAAATTTGCGGCAAGATCTTCCTTTCACCGTGATACCGGAACATTTATTCTGATGTTCGTATTCGTTCCTCTGTCGTCTGATCATAAGAGATTGTAGAGAAAAAACCACGCTAAGGTTGGGCATAAATAGAGAACGCGGTTTTTCCGACTAGGATCAAAGCTCACGAAAGTAAAGAATCGATTCGAAGCACAGAACAGTACAGTACTTGCAGAGCAACCATGAATTTGTATCAAATCCCCCGAGAAAGGAAAAAAGCGTTTCGTCAACACGTTACCTGTTTTTCCAGCGCGTCGGCCAACGGATTGGCGACGTGGCCAATGAGATCCTGGTTGACGTACTTAGCGAACAGCGACAGGTCGACGGACGGCGGCGGCTGTTGCGGTGCGTGCGGCTGCGGTGCCACTGGCAACGCATTTGCCACCCCACCGGCCACCCGCCCACCATCAGCGCCCTCCTTCAGTGCCGAGATCCCGCCGTTAGTGCCCAACCGAGACACCACTTCATGATCTATAGGCGATGCCGAAAAGATTACTTTACATGTTGAGGAAGATACCTGCTGACACTCCAGCAGACAAATACAGCGGGACTCTCGACAACGATTTATTTTTGCAGTAAAGATAAATTTGCCAGTTCTGGCAAGCCATGTACAGTTTTGGCAGCTTCGATACATTTGAGTTATTTCTAAGTTGAGTTAGGCTATATAAAATTCGGTTAGTTAAAGGATCAACACCTTCGTGACTGGAATTCAAGACACCAGAATTAACGTTAACGGCAAAATAACGTTAATTTTAGAATTCCACACCAATAAGCAGACCACTAAGCCCACTTTCCTTCAAAAAATCTCAACAAAAATTACTTTGAATATTGTAACATTTGTAGTTCTGCAAGAATGGAGGTAGAACGGACCCTGAAGGTAGACCGTACGGCTCTAGCAAAACTTAGAACTGTACTAGTACTGTACTGCACTAACAACGCATCACCGATTTCGCACAATAAGTACCTTTTAGTGTTATCTTTAAAAAAAAATTACACCAGTGGAATGAACGCACCTTTATCTTGCGAAAAGATCTGACTCGGCTCTGACTCTGTAGGCGTCGGAGGGCTCACGTCACCCAGCCCAGATTCATCGTCTGTGTAAAGAAAAAAATTTCGTTTTATGAAAATAAAGGGGAATTGTATCAAACTAGAAAGTTCAATGGGAAGAACTGGTCAACTCATTTACAGTTCAACGTCACATTTTTAAAAACCAAATCGAATCGTTTAGACTTACCGAACAGCCCAAGGGTTACACCAGGAAGCGACTGGCACGTGGTTATCCCACTTGAAACGGGTCCATCTAGAAGAAAATTGCAGCGACAACATGAATACCAAAATACCCATTAAAATAAAGGAGAGCAATTTTTAAAAGGCGGGACAAATGATTGGAAGGAATTGACGATTCGGCATTTCATTATTCAACATAAAAACGCTTTGGAAAAGATCATCCCAGCGGATCATAAACTTCCAAGAAACTTCACTTTCAAAAACGTTTTTAGAAAAGTCTCGAGAAGAATAGGGGATACTGAAAAAACATTTTGCGACAAAACTCTTCGAAGAATGGCATCGAGTCCGACAAGAGCTTACTCGACAGTCGCGAATCCTCCCGCCGGAGAGTCTTCCCGTAGTCGGTCGCTGGAGGCGACCCCTCCGACCACTTGCGCTTCACAGAAACCGGCGGCGGCGGCACGCCCAGCATGGACGTGAGAGCGGCCGACACAGCCGAGCCCGGCGTGGACAAGGCGTCCAGTAACTGGGCCTGGCTGCCAGGGAAGTTGTTTTGGCCCGTCTGCTGCTGACGTTGATGAAGAAGGGACCGCAACGTGGCCAGCGCCGGAGTCAAAATCCGCTGATCCACGTTCTCCACCTTCACGCCCGACTTTAGTTGCGCCATGAGCGCATCCACAGCTTCGTTCGGTGCGCTGCGACTAATCGGCTGCTCATAGTGATGGCCTTGTGACCCTGAAATAAAAAAACACAAAAAGTGCATCAAGAGTTCAAGAAACAACAGAAACAGCGTGCATTCAAAAATGTATACGACAGCGAGAAAACGCAGCAAACAAGGAAGATGTCCAATGTATGAGTATTTGTTATAAGGTGGGTACATGCCACTGAAAGACAAAATGTACGGTTAAAATATACATTATTTTAATTTCCCTCCAAATAATTTAAATTCTGAATACTTTCGGATTCCTTATGCATACGCGTGAATATTGCTGCAGCACCACATGAGTCAAGCTTGATTCCCGAAATAAATTTAAAATTAGAATACTTTTTCGAATGTCACTCGCTTTCGACAATCTCTTTAATATTCGAAATTCATGATTTCACAAACAAATTCAAGACACATAATAAGTGTGGATTTTTCATTTTTCAATTCCCTGCATTTTTACGTGTCAAATGGAATGCAGCACGTGTTCTGCAGAATACAGGGAAGTATTACAAGTATCTTATACAGCTGTGAAACCAGATTTACCGCGTAACATTGTTCAAATTCGACAAGACGCATGTGCTTCAACGAATATTATTTTCTTTTCAACGCGGAATTCAGTTTTGATACAAAAGGAACACACGTGAACGTTACTTCATCAATCGATGCTACGAACCTCCATTCCCAAATCGAACGAAGCATGACTTCCTATCAACAGAGCATATACATCTGTGGGTTCGCATATTTTCCCATCAGATAACTTCCAATGCAACTTGATCGAATGCAGTAGTTCAATCACGCAAGGAACCAGACATATACGGTACTCAAATAAAATTCTTCCATTCAAAAGAGCGTGAAGGAACACTTCGCATCAACAAGAAAGAAACAAGCTGCTGCTGGAGTCTCTGTTACTCAAGCTGTTTCTACTGAGGTTTGATCCTTAATTCACGAGTTACTCACAATCTGCTCCAGAAGAAGGCTTTGATTCATGTTGAGACGTTGACGAGTAATGTGACTGGAACCGCGAGTGGGAAGTGCTGTGATACGACGGGCGCCTTTCCTGCCGTACCGCCGCAGACGAATGCGATCGGGATGACGACGACCCACTATCACGTCTTCCATGCAGGTCTACACAAAAGCATATGAGGTCAGAACGAGTACCTTTTGCACTCTTGCGTCATTCATGCGCGACTCATTGATGTTTTAATGTTTGAAAGTAGAAGAGCCCAATCAGTTGAAAAATGAATCTGAGGAAATTCACCATGACTGGAACGTTCGGGGTATCGATTGCTAGACGGATGATGACTCGGATGAGCTGGGATATTGTTGCCATGCCCGGAGTTGTTCGAATGTACGCTACGGTGATACGGTCGGTGCTGGTTTCCATGTTGAGACCGGTGGTTGGGCAAATCTACCAAACCCACGAAAATCCAAGACAGATTGTAATCCTTTTCACGAAATCAATTCACTTTCTCCCGATAACAAAATGAATATACTGAGGAGCCGCTGAAAACAATTAGAGCAATTCATTCAAACTTCACTCTCACGCTTCATCAGAACCCGACTTCATCGTGAAATCAGAAGTTTTTCCTCAATTAAGAATTACCTCTGCGGTCTTGATGCCGGTTCCTGTCCTTGAGCTCGTACTCTGCCCACTCAGCGGGCTTCTCCCATTGGGAAGTCGAAGTTCTGTAATTGTAGTAATACTTCTTCCCGGTAGAGCTGATCTGCATGGACCAGTCGCCGTATCGCTGGAGCGGGCCATCCTTTGTGGACTGTTGACACAAACCAGCCATTAACACCGAGAATGACAAATGACAGACACACGGAAACCAGAATAACTTCTCCGATCTCAAAAAAAAAAAAATGACTCACCATTCCCGATCGCAAAACCTCCGGTATAATCAGTTTGATTTGTCCACACACGATTCGCGAGTGAACAGTCGCATTAGTGTTCGCCGCGTTAGATCTAGACCAAATTTATCAAGCAGAGCAAACACTGATCATTAAACACTAGAAAGCTAGTTTCTTTTCACTTCGTCATCACATCAGTATCGATTAATCTGCAACGGAAAGCACAAGAGAATTCATAACTCTGAAACACAGCACCCGGCATTCACGACGAAGCTTGAAAAACCTTATTCCGCGAAATACCGGTTCGAACACTTGTGCTCAAGGAAGTAACGACTTCCTTTTTCAAAGTAATCGGATCTTGTAACAAAATATTCAGAGTTGGTTGGGTCTCTCGCGAATTCGGCTGCTCCTTTCCACGAACCCAGAACAGGATCTCTGGTTATTTCAACCTGAAAGGAAACATCCACTTGAATTCACATTTTCAACACAAACGGCCACAAGTTTAATGATCAAACGAAATTTCAACTGGTCGCGAAAAATTACTCGTAAGTTGTAACACCGTTGATTGTTAAATTTTGTGGAGCTTTAAAGGCTAAAGAGTCACCACTCGGCAATACCTAATGAAGCGGACCATGATTGATAAGTAGGATTTCGACTGTCGGCTGATGGTAAGGCGGATTTGTTACACCCGAACGCAATTTCTAGAGAAATATTATGCTTCAAACGTTTATCAACGTTATTGCCAACAAATCTGATACAGCTCCTTAAGGTCCTGAACTGGATTCCATCCATGCACTGCTGCAGGTAGCACTTAGAACTCAGAAATTAAATTCACTATCTAGAGGTTAACATCAATAATAGACAGTTGCTGTAAATCTTATCAAAGTCATTGAGGTCTTCCAGCGAGTAATTGAGACACATTTACGACAATTTATGTTAAAGGCCCACATCTATAAACATAGCTTTCTTTATTTTAAATCAAGAATTATAAAGACGTAGATGCCAAGGTATATTTAGAGAGTACTGTTCACGAAAAATGAAATATGCCTCGAATTTCTCACTACACAGGTCAACACCTCCAACTCAACAATTCTGGAGTATTTCAGGTGAAACTAAGATGGATGAAACACAGCTACGTACATTAAACGTCGATTCGAAAGGCCTCATGGCACGGATTTCGTTCTCCAAGCGGACTTTTAACCCAGGAATGCACGCAAATCCTCCGCACACAATAATATTATCAGCCAATTCTTGCGCAGTTTCCGCATCGAACGCCTTGAAGGATGTTTCCAGGCCGAAACTCAATCCGGCCTGTTTTGATCCCACGAGTGCAGCTGGTTGGAACAAAAGCTCCGGCACACGAATGCATTCAGTGGCCAAGTGGAGCGTGTTCCGGAAGGACGTAGTGCCACAGGATAATAACGCCTTGTGTTCCTCGTCATATTGAGCGAGTAATCTTTCAATTTCCCGGAGTTCTGTGTCCACGTCATGCTCGGAATCCCAGTTTTCGCGTCCGACGACCATGTATACCTCCCAATCCTCGTCACGGGCTCCGAAGGTATCCCTCTAGAAAAATTCAACATGATCAGGTCCTATTCGAGAGATCGCATGAATGAACAGGTGTCAAAAAGTAACTGCACGATGAAAGAATCGGCATTTTCGTGATTTTTCAAATTTCTCGGCAACAAAATTGATGACAAATTTGTCAACTCCATTCAAAAATTCGAGAACTCGCTGATGAGCAATTTATCCCTGCCTAGTAACTCTTCGAACACTGCGCATTGGAAGAAACAAAGTTGAACCAAATTTATTGATACACCGAGATTTTCAAATCAACATCACAGACTAAAGTGATCAATTTGCAAGGCTCTCCTAAAATTCTTCGGGGCATCAAAATCTTGATGCCTTCATCGAATAACATTGGCAGACTTTCAACAGTGAGGAGAGACTGAAGACGAACAGAAAGATAAAACAAATAGCTAGCTCCTACGTACAACAGGATACGAACTGTTGATTCCTCTACTAGAAGTTCATTTTGACCACAAAAAGGTCATAAGTTTGAAAAGTTGGCTTGAAGAAAAAATATATATTGAGAGGGTTGCATCAATTTTACCGCAAATATGCAGATGTGAAAATGATCATTGCTAATTTTAGAGATGGAAACCATTAAGGCCTGGCTGAACTTGGGAGAGGCTAGGTTCAAATTGTTTCCTGAAGTTTCGGGACTCTGTTTTCATTGAATAAACTCAGGAAATCCATCCACAACTTTGTATGGTTCAAATCAATCCCATAATTTTAAATACTGAAATAACCGAAGCAAACGGAGGTTGAGAAAAAATCTTCATCTCTCAGTGAGATGAATAGAACAGTAAGTTTCAAACTGTTGTATCATCTAGACAAAAACTTTTCCTAATACCTAGACAACACCTCGTACAAAATTTAACTTGGTTTCACATGAAGTAAAAAGATAAAAATCACCCACCTTTTCTTTTTTACGCCCAGCCGCGGTTTTGTCTTCGGACGCAAGTTGCGATAACATTCGCAGACGGTCTCGAGCAGCTCGGGAGTGTCGATTTCCCATCTCAGCATTCCGGGCGCGTATTTTTTCCTTTTTATCAAGCAAGTGCTGCCTTCGGCTTCGCATTTCTTCAAGCCACTCTTCGCTTTTCTCGTTGCTTTTCGCCCCGAATTCGTTCAGCGACGCGAGCTTTTCCCGCGTTTTCGTTATCTGGGAATTCAGAGCCAAGCGTTGTTTTTCCAGACTCGCGTCTATGTCTTCATCTTCGCCATCTGCTTCAGCATTCAATTCTTCGAACTCCACCTGGAGACTTTCCAGCTTCCGCTCCAGCCGTGTACGATGCATTTCTTTCAATCGCTTGACCTAGAACCACACCTCACAGTACTCAGGACTCACGACGGTCAATCGTCAACCTTACCTGATTTTCCTTCCGGGCTAACTCTTGCGCTTTCTTTGCTTCGAGGTCTACTTCAGTCGGAACTGCGGCTGCTGCCGGTAAAAAGATCTCCACACCATCCTCATCATGCCACTGGGACAGACTCTCCATATAGCCTTCCTCAGAAAATTTGCACAAGTTCCGAATAATTTCTTCACAGCGAGTAAATGTTACAGTGGAAGCCCGCCACGGATTCTTCAGCTGTAGCAGCTTTTGGAGATACAAGGTTGCATCGTATCCACCGAGATTCAACCTTTGAACACCTTCCAAAATTCTCATAATGAACGCAGACGTTTCGCGAGCATGAAAAGGATAATTAATTAAATAGAATTCGCGATCGTAGCACTTCGAAAATCAAAGTTCTTTTTACAGAACAGTATTGGCCTGAAATAAATTTCCTCAGAACAAACAAGTCCGTTGATTCCCCACATGCTTCGGGTAAGAGTTCAATAAAACCGGACTACTCTTGTTTTCTAGTCCCGATAATGTGAGTAAATGGTAATCTGATCTAATGATGGACTAAAGGAGACTTACTTTGATCAAAGGAGTCTTACTGATTGCAATGCAGAATTCATGGACCATAATTTTTATAACGAAATTTTCAAGGAGTGCGTCAGACACTCAAGTAAGTACGGTTGGCGCAGTTTGTCACCTTCTAAGCGAAGCTGGCCACACACAACTGGTAATATGTGGCAGGTTGTGTGACCCAGGACGACGTTCATGTACGTTCCACGAGTAGGATCATGATGATGAACGGAGAATAGACCGTCAATTCCAGTTAGCAGGGAGGCAACATCGAATCTGAGCCCAGAAAAAACGACACCGTTCACACAATAGTTCATACTAAAGTAAATTGGAAGAACTTACTTCTCGAAAAAGATTTCGGCCACTTGAATACGACAATAGTCCGGATTCAAAGGAGCTTCCGTGACTACACACGGAACATCACGCAAGTCAGAGTTCAGATGCCGACGACCATAATCCAGAACATTTTCAAATATTTCAAACTGTGTTAGAACATTGCGTTCGAACGGAGACCTCAGCGAAGACCTGATGGACAACTTCCACAGTTATTCGGTGAATGCTTTGACATTAACGAAAAGAGAAACTCGCCTCACGGCATCAATGCTCTTTACGTCATTCCCGATCAAATCAGGACGGAGACGCGCAAGTAGATTGCGATATATGAGCCGCGGGTTCGATTCCGTTGCCTGTTAATTACGATCAAAGAAATCAAAGTACAGTAATATTAAAGCCAACAGTGATGATGCCCGAAAGACCACCATACTTACCCAGTCCAACCGAGCCTTCCAGCATCCATTGTCCAGCACAGCAACGTTACTGGTGCCATTTTGCACACCAATAATCGGGTCAGGACAGACAACTTCATCGACGAGAGAAAATGTCCTGTACGGCAGCTCTTCGGACATGCTGGTATGTTCCTGGAATGAAGAGAATATTGAATAATCGATCAATCCAAAGGAGGTCTTCATAGAACCCGATGCCATACGTTATTAATCCCAGACGTCAGCAGCGAGATCCCATCTTTACGGTTCCTGAGCTAAGGGAAACAACAGAAGTGCAAACGCCGCAGCACGGTCCATCATGAAAGCCTATCGCATCCTCCATTACTGAATTCAAGCTTATTGCCTGTTACGGAGAGGCGAACTTGCCGCTGATACATATGGTCCAAGACATCCAGTCGCATGCAATCAGTCGAGCTCTATCTGTCAAACTATCATAGAGCTTGATCGGCAGCTTCTTTCATCAACGGTCTCTCATCACTTGCTGCAGGTAGAATTGCCGTAATTTTAATCGCGAAGGTCTTCAGCTTATTTGAAACCATTTAAAATCCCACGATTGTTAAATCTGGAGTATATCAGACATTGTTGAATCTCCTCTTAGTCTTAGTATCTTTGATAAGCAGGCATCAGCCACCAGACTGTTGCATACTGACTTGCAGCAACCTAGTGCAATTTACTTTACTTCAGAGTGTACTCACTTTACCTAGTGAAGCTAATGATGGAGGCACATGTCTGTCCCGAATGAGATGATCCTACACTTCACTGTGCAAGCAAACAGGTAAGTTCAGCATGCAGCTAATCTCAAATTCATAAAAATCTTCATTAACTCTTACTTATGCTCACATGAGAAATTCCACGATTCATGCACCAAGAATCTCTGTATGAGCTTACGGTATATTAATCAACATTTGGGTGTTATATACAGTATATGTAAGCATCCTGACTTAAATCCATGAGAGAAATGTTTCGAAATCCGAGACTTACATCCCAAGGATAGTTTTCATTTGTCTATTATATTTCCAACGTAGAATACTTGCTTTTGTGTGCATCAGTATACTGCTTCACAGGAAACCATAACATTGTAATGGTCCATTTAATTTCTTACCTGGGCGCATGAGAAAAAATTCAAGGTTCAGCACAGGAGGGCTGGAATAGGCAACCGTTGATTTTAAGGTCATCTTACTCCGTGTGACATGTTGCTTTCAATTATTGACTGAATTTCCATATATAGTTTGTTTTAATTCTTCATTTTTTAGAAAATGCCAGTAATACAAAATATACAACTGAGGAATATTTCATTCCAGTTATTCGAGTCATTTCTTGATTTAATCAGGTCACGGCCTATTGCTGATAACCTGATATGGTATCAAAATGTTCAATGCCTTTCTTTCTACAGTATATCACATGTACACAGTGTATTCACATATGTATAGAATTGAGCTTGTAATTCCTGAACGTTTTTTTCAATGCAAACAAAGCAGTTCTGCATTTCTCTGCTTGGCACAATTCAAAATTAAACTTGATTCATAAATATTATTGCAGTTCATCATCACTTGATTAACGTTGTGCAATTTCATTGGGCAATCGCAACACCATCCGATAACACAGCAAACTTTCCGCATCTTCGAACTTGGCAGGTAAGATGCAAACATCGTCCTTGATAATGTAAAATTCATAATTGTGCCATTCTCGAAACATTAACTCCACGCTCACACATCTTGATAAAAAAAAATCTGCATCAAGATCTGTACACACCGGAAGAGTATAACTTTGACGAGAATGTCACTTGCGCAATTCTATCCGTACCTTTCATCCACAATTGCACATAGCTTCAATCAAATCGAGGAGTAACCTCCACCTTGTTGACGAGAACTTACATACCCCGTAATCACATCGTTAGAACAAAATTTAGCTGGATCAGGACCTGCTGAATTAAGATCAGTAAGATATGTGCGGAGATTTCAACACCAAGTCTAAACTTAATTCTACTAAGGCATGAATCGCATAAATTCAGGCCTAAATGACAGGTCCGTCCAGATACAGTATGTCAAATTTGTGTGGAAAAAAAAACTTCGGAAAGTCCAACATATCCTCGATGACTTCACACAACTTTCGTACCTCCAAACGTATATTGTCATTTCGTCGAAGCAGAAATATCTGTGGAACGTATGAAAATGCCTCCCCAGATAAATGAAACATAACCATTGTGAAGAATGAGTCATCAATAATAATTCAACCCCCACAGGGACCGTAACATCCGAAGTCCGTGAAACAAATCCGATCATCGGAATCAATTTTCCTCGAGGACTGCCATGTGATCAACTTCGTGTTTCCTTCCACAGCTTACCTGTGTCGAAAAAAAGAAAGAAAAAGGAAACATGGAAAAATGTTTCAAAATACACAGAGGCGAAGAAAAACTTACCGATGTTGCATTCACACTTTTCTGATTTTGAGAAATTTGAAAGCAAATTGCGAAATGTGACGATGAATTGAGGAATGTCCTTCAAGTAGCCCGCCACACAGCCACCGCGTAATTCCTTGTCAGAAGCATTCTTCACATTGAATCAGCATCGTCTCTGGGATCAGCTTTCGTAGAGGCGTCGATGTTCAATGGTACAAACGCAAGTACCATGCCTGACTTCACAAGTCCTGCAAATGACAGTAGTGTAATACCTAGCACTGCTGAAAACACGAACGGCTAGAATCTTACCTGCTTTAACAGACAAAAGGCACCATTCCAGTACCACAGATTTTTCGGAAACCAAGAAGATGAAGACGCAGAGGCTTTCAGTTGGACGCAACTGCGGTAGCACAACATCTTGCGCTTCGTTTTCTTCGCGGGTGACGGTGAAGTCCTCCCACCACGACGTCTTCCCAGGAGCTCATTCCACGCAGAAATATGCCTGTACGCAACCCATCTTCTCAAGGCGAGGCGTCTATCCAGAATTCCACGGATGATTTCTACAAATCAGGAAGAGCGATGACACTTGAATCCCAATAAACGACCCTCAAGTTCGATGGTCTCGTCGCACAATCGCTACGAGTCCTACAGACACGCGCAGACTATCACCGAAAGCTACGTCTCCTAACACATCATACGCAAAAGACTATTGATCTTTAAATCGGTTCACCAACTCATAAAACTACATGATTGAAAACGCATTCACACCTGAAGATCAGCAGCCTGAAGGTGTCCATCGTATTCACACGTCGACGGTCTGCTATTCCCAAATCACAATCCATCAATATACATTCGCGGATTAAAATTTCCGCACAGCGATGTTAAATCGTTATGGTATTTCCCGTTGACCACGCATCCATGAATACGTCGAATATTTTTGCAATTCCGCGCGGAACCATATTCCATGAATAAGTTATATATTTTTGCATTTATTTTTGCGCAACAGGAATCCAGGCTTGAGACCTTGATCACTTAAATTTAATCATCACAAAAACCACCCTCGCATCAGTGCCCGGAAAATCCCTTAATCCCAGCACCAGGGTTGCTGGATGAAACAGCTGGAAGTAGGTTCGCTTGTTCATCCTATTCCTAGATGTCAGCAGTGACGGGAATCAACGCTAATCAGGGTATAATCCAGTAGATGACGCTAGAAATACAGAAAGGTCGCAGCTTATTAATTTGTTGCTCGTATATACAGCGCTGCGCTTCGATGAAAGAGAATAAACTGCTGGTATAGCAGTGGTAGGTAATCAACTTAATTTATCATTCTTAGTGCTATTGAAACCACAAGCATATTAGAATAATTCCACAGTCGAAAAGTTTTTATATTGAATGATTAATGCTAACGTGCGAACAGCAGTGTTCGAGAGTCAAGACTGGGATTGAAAATATAACACTGACTCGTTACACTAACATGTATTCTTCGGAGCATTTTCCCAAGTATGCATGAAAGAATTTGAGATTTTCAGCTTTTGAACAGACCATTATTTTAAGGATTTTAAAAGCGGAAAAGGCAACAGCTAATACAGTACTGTACTGTACTGCAAGCGCAACCTTGAAATGTATGCGAAGACACGCAGCGCTTGTTACTTGCGACTATAGCAATCAATAAAATCACCACGGCAATAAGGATATCTCTACGCTAGGTTGAGCCCAAAGCCCCAAACATTTGTATCCCTTGGTCACAAAAAAATCAGTCCTTTTTTGCTTCACGGCCCGCAACCATCATGTCCAACAATAAACTGTGTCCATTTTACATATAAACCTCCTGCGAAAAAGCCCAAATGAAATCAGCTGATTGATTTACAGTGATTTTTTCGGAAGCAGCAGCGAAGCTTCACGTAAATCATGAACCCGAATCGTCCGCAATCATCTCCGAACATTACTGATGAAGAGCGCGTGAAGCAGAGTCACATGTTCAGCAATGAATGGATGAACAAGGCTTACAGGAAAGTCGCTCTCCCAAATCCAGCTTGTGAAAAGGTATATATACAGTACGTGCACTTCCTTTAATAAACCAGGAGAATATAAAAGGGTTGTCCCAATGGCGCGCGCCCTTGGAAGTTTTGATTCTGTTCAAAATTGGAAAAAAGTTACGAAATTTCCTTTATAATTTTCAAGCTTTCCAGATTTGAAAGAAAAAAAATTTTCAAGACAAAGCATAATGTGAAGGGAAAACTTTCTGGTTATCATATGCACAGAGTTTTCTGTTCATTCCAGAGTATGCAGAAATTTTGTTGTTTTCAGATTAAAAATAAAAAATTATTTAATATATTATTCTATTTACTATAGCGAACATTTTTACCGGAATTTTTAAAATCCTGTAAAATGAGTGGGTAACTCTGATGACAGCTAAGAAATTCTGATTTTTCTTCATGCAGTACCTCGGAAAAAAGTCTTGAGGATACGAAAAAAATTTCAAATTTTCAGAACATTTCAAGCTAAATTTAGATATGTTCCTTTATATTTTTAACGCCATCAGAAAGACGAAGGACGCGCGGTAGTTGGACAACCGTTATAAACCAAGAATGGTTCACTCCTGATGAAGTTTCCCCTTTAAATACATTCTAGATTTAAATAATCCTCACTTTGACTCATTCTAGCGCGTCAAATAACAGCTGCGGCCCCCTTCTTTGAAATATATTCATATAGTAACCGAAAATATCGCAACACTAGTCCTATATACTCTACGTATGCTCGTTAATTTTATTTCAGACAACAACAAAAACAAATTAAATTTATAGTAAATAATTTGATAAAATTAAAAAAAAACTACCTGTAATGCACACACAAAAGCGAAGCGAACTAAAATTGACGAGCCCGCTGAGTTCAAATGCATTTCTTTCACAACTTCATGCAAATTTGACAACAGTCCCTCTGTCAAATGCTATGAAATCAGCATCCACTTATACTCGGTCAAAATCGTGTCATTAGCAAATAATTTTGTGCAATTTCCACTCATACAGTCATTTCTAATCTTACGAGGACAAATATTGATCAACTCTCAATTTTAACCACGTCCGCCGCTGATGTGAACATGCAGCAACCATTGGAAATAAATGACTCCAATAGAAGCTTAATTCTAGAGAAACACAGAACTGTACCTTCTCATTCAATGATGATCTCAGCTTTGAGAATTCAGCGACGGAATAATATGTCCATGCCTTCGCCATATAGGTTCTCGGCAAAGTTAACGACGCCCTCGCAAGACGTCTGCGAAAGCCGACGGGAACCCCGGCTCAACAGCAAGCCCTTTTCATGCTCCTCGGCCACAAGTTCGTCAAAGATCATTATCCGGATCGCAAAATCGATCCGACCGTCTTGGTATGTCTATATACTGCACCTGTATATAAATACATATCACGCATATATATATATATATATATATATATATATATATATATTTATTCAGCAAGAACAACCCAAAAATAAATTTCATAAGAAGCTTTCTACAATGCATATTATTCTTATTCCATATATATATGCTTGCACGCTGCAGGAGGGGCTTCCGAGAGACGAAAAGGAGAAGATCATGAGGCAAACTACGGAGTTTCTCGACAAAGAAACGCAGGCTGCCATTGATGACATTGGCATGCCGAAATCCTTTGCAGAATATAATGAAAATGATGACCTCGGGCATTACGTGCGGGAAGTTCGATCCACCTTTAGAAACGGACTGGACGAAGAAGTTCAAAAGCAAGTCGAAAACTTCGGAGTGAGTCATTTTTAAAAGGGGATCATCCCCCAAAGCAGCTGAGGTTGCATCATCATATAAATACAAAAATGAAATCCAAGTTTTTCTGCGGCTCAATGAAAAAAAAAACGTTTATACTTCAACAAAGCCATTTTCCTTCATGTATACATATCCTGTACATCAAATACACCCGGAATTTATCAGAAAGAAATTGATTACTGTAATCTAGCCACCTTGGCTTCCCTTGCTGAATAAATTAAAATGTTGACATGAATCATCACCAACAAAATTCCAATTTTTCCTCTCTTTCCATTGAAAATCCTCAAAGTAAAAAAACTTGAAAGTTTTACGTGAACAGTTTTTAATTTTATTTTATGGTGAATCTCTAAAATAATAGTGACCCGTCACTGTAGTATTTGCTTGACAATGTACTTCAGATACCCGCTTACAAAATGAAAGATAAAACCGAAAATTTTCTATAAAATACCGTACTTACCTCAAATGCAACGTAGCAATTATAAAAAGAAAATTTTGGCGGGCTGCAATTTTTTTCTCAAGTGGAATTGAAACATTAAAATTAAAAAATAATTGTAACATAACTCTACAAATAATATTCAGAAAAAATAGCTACGTCGTTTCCCACATTTTGTTTTACAATTTTTCAGATTTAATTTAGTTCATACCATTCTTTAAACTTAACCTTATTGATGGTATAAATAATAAATCAAATACTGTATTCTGAATGTGCTTTAGCAAGATTTAAATAATTCGAGCATGATGTGCATTTTTTGAACCCCGGATCATATTACATGGGCGCAACAATTTTCCACGAAAATTACAACACTCGTTATGTATCTCCTTCAATATCAAGAATATTTTTGGTAAGACAAGCATGGAACCCTTATATAGTGACTTTTGAATTTATATACCGTAAACACAGAAGAAGCAGACTGGGAGTTTGAAAGGCAAAGTCGTCACACCCGAACAGTGCAGGAACACCATTGTCGGCCAAACCTTGTTGAGCCTGATGGACTTCAATCCCAGCTTGGCATCGGACATCGAAAACGAGTAAAATCATTTGTCCAAAATATCTGCCGAAAATATCAAAACTTCAAATCAAACGCTGCATGTTTCTTTTTTTTTTTTCAACAGCTACAAGTCCAAGGTGAACATGATGCCGAATCCCTTGAGACAAAAGATCTACATGGAGCACATGTTCCAGAAGGAGCTGAAAACGCTCCTTCGGAAGCCAGTGAATGAAATCAACGACGATCTACTCAAGCAGCAAAAGGGCATCGTTCAAGCAAAGATGAAGGACCAGAACATTGAGAGACCAACTAGGAGCAATGCTGCCAAAAATATTTACAAACTGGTCAACGATGCAAGTCTTACTCCCTTTTTTCTTTTCTTCTTCTTCTTCTTCTTACACGAAAATAAGTCTGGAATATTTTTAATTTGATCGTCGAAAGGTTTACAAAGAGGCACCTGGACTAAAAGCCTTGCAGAGTGACGACGAACACAAGTTTCAAGCATCGAAAGTCCTCAACATCATCCACGTGCTCAGCAAAAAAGTGCAGACGTCGCAGGTCTTCTTTCTTTGTCCACTCCAACTTGCTTTCGGGAAGCTTCTGGAAGAAGAAAATGGTTCATAGACACGTGTTCCAACTCATTAGCATGCTGTACTCAAAAAATACTAAAACAATCTGCAATTATTTTCAGATGATGACATGCTCAAGTTATCTCTGCTCCTTGACTTGGCCTGCGAACATGTAAAACCAAACCCAGTCAAGTTGTTTGGTTATGCTGATGAGGTTCTGGCACTATTGAAAACAGAGGATCCCGAATATTACAAGAAGCTCATGGAGGTCATAAAGCTCAAAATAAAACCAACAGCAAATGTGAGTTTCACAATAACTGGCATTGCAAACACACACAAAAAATGTGATATTTACCTTGACTGAACATCCATGATTGTATTTCAATTTATTCATGAGATTTCAAAATGTAAAAGTAAAATTAGTTTCCCTGTCCAGGAAATTTTGGCATCAGTGCATGTTCTCATCTTTATACATTGATCATGTGTTTGGACAAATTTATTTTAGTTTACAGTGTCTATAAGTCAATTCATTGCCATGTCAAGGCATCCATGCATCACTGAGTTCACTGTGTACAAATTAAACTTTAGTGTGGTTTCTGTAGTATTTTGACCACATACATAATTTTTTATATGACTTATACATGGAAAATGGATAAACTGATGCATTTTTACCATCATGTTACATTCAAGACACATTTTTGTTTGGATCATTGGTTATTTGAGGTGTAGATTTATTATTCATGCTGTCAATAGTGTCCTTAGACTCCTGACAAAGACAATAGGTTCAGTGAAATAATGACACAGGGCAATTGGTTGTTTGCGGCCTGAGGAGAAATCCTCTACTTGGAAGTTTTATTTCTGAAAGATATATCAAAATATCTTCAGCACAGATTACAAGCTTTCTTGGAGTGATGTTTGCGTGCACACTTCAGGAACAGTTCTGTTGATCATGATGAGGTTGGATGTTGAGGTTCAGGTCCATTCCAATGGAAATGAATCCAAAGGCCAGCTTCTTGGAGCCGTGTCTGGTGTTTCATGAGAATCCTTTTGATGAGGGTTACTCATGATTTTTTATAATAATTACGGAATATTTTATGAAGGTTTCAGAACTTCATAGAATATTTCAAATTATACAACTTTTGTTCTTGATAATTCCAGTTGCTTCTAAGCAATGTAACGTGACCGTGAGCAACATCTAGTCATTTCACAGTGCAAAGTTGTTTGCTCAGGGCGACACCTAGTCAACCCATGACACATGCTATCTGTTATGGGAGTCATACTTCAGAATCAATAAATAAAATATTCATCAACAGGACTTCCCAGATGAATGCCTGAACCAAAAGCAGCTTCAGGCAGAGAAATTATACAATGACATAGCTGAAAGTTCAGCATCTGGAACATTACCACAGCATTTGGAACCAATCCTTGGAGACCCTGCCATATTTCTTAGGTAAATTACAATGCTAAATATTTTAATCATCAACTAAAAACTGTTCATCTTCAGGAAATGGTTGGTCCAGGGTTTTGCTGGAGTTCTCAACACCAATGGTCTCATGTTGACATGGGATCATCTATTCTTGAACAAATGTTCAGACAAGATATTTGTGAATACCACTCTGGCCATACTCAAATTGATAAAACCATGGATGATGCATGCCAAAAGTTACACTGGTGTGCGCAAGGTGAGCAGAATATCTGCCTTGGGAAATATTTTAAAATACTGTACAGTAACAAAGCCATTGGGCCCAGGAGAAAAAGCTTAATTATGACCAAAAATCAACACAAAGAAACTAAAAAAAATACTGTTGATATTTGACAGGTCCTAAGAAAAAAGTTGTTTTGTAAGCAATAATAATTTGTAGTACATCATTTGGATTTGCTGCTTCTGTAAATTAATATTAGTAAGATTTTTTTTAGGTTTTTCTGGAAGAACCAGCAAACCTATATACAACAGACCTGAGGAAAGCTTACCAACATCTTCAGAAAACCCCAGGAGTTCTGTCAGGTTTCCCACCAAACACAAACTACATAGAAGGTCCTGTTCAAGAGAGGGCACCAACCCCAGTCAGGACCCCTTCCCCACCCCCAAGGTAAGATTGCAACCATCTTTGGCAATGACCTACAACTATTGCACAGTAGAAATCTGCACCTTTGTGGTGTTCTTTAGGCGCACACAACGTGACGAATTTCAGCTGGCAATCAACCTCACTGACAGCGAAGATGAAGCAAATGTCAAATGACGTGAACCTGCCAGAGAGAGAGAGAGAGAAAGCACAAATAAAGTTCAAAGAGTTGCAGTGTTGGAAACCTTTTCACGTCTGGGCATTCATTCGCTCATCCCGGGCAAGTCTGAGAATAAAACATATAAAGGGCTTTTGGATTTATGTTTGCAGGTTGATACCCTTTGGTCCAGCATTGCCTCCGTTTGACGTGCACATTGATCTGGACTCAGATGAAGAACCTCCAAGGGAACCCACTCCCCCTCCTCCTAAACCTCCTACCCCACCTCCTAGAGAACCCACACCTCCTCCACCACCAAAAGCTCCCACGCCTCCCCCTAGGGCCCCAACACCTCCTGCAATGACTCACTGGGTCCCTTATTCAAAGTCATTTGGTGACAAGAAAACTCCAAAGCCAACAATCATTCAAAAGCCCTTTGATTTGTACATTGATGGCCTCAGGTTCTTACCAGACAACATTGCACTGGCAAAAGTGACAGGAAGGTAAGGCATATTCATGGTGAGTATGAAGGATTGTTCAATAGTTTGCAAGTATGAAAAAAATGACTCCCCTATACCCTTTGAAAAAACCTGGAATACTGCAAAGAATTGGAATATTGTATTTGCACAAGCAACATGCATGGATACCTTTCTTTCAGGAATTGGGGTGCAAATTATACTTGGCTGTGCATTTTGTAATGATAAAGTTTCAAACTTTGAGCATGCATTTATCAAAACCAAATTGAATTACTGTACTTCATTTTTCAAATTAACAAACTAAATTAATTAAAATCACAGAGATAGGCTCAAATGAAATTATATTTGATTGCATTAGATGTAATTTCTGAAAATACATTTAATACAGCATTTCATATACACAAATGTAAAACAAAGGCAGATAAAATGCAAAATCAACGTTTGTTTGATTTATGTACAGCACAGTAAATTAAATCGAAATTTTCAAACATTGAAGTCAACATTATTTATAGAAGTTGAATCATATAATTAAACTGATAAAATACAGTATGCTGAAAACCGGGATGCATGCCTGAAAGTTGCCATAAATTAAGTAAAATTCATTGCATCAATGATTTTAGATTTTCAGCATCGTATTCAGGAAGATTCTTTAAATTATTTGAATTACTGTAATTCATTACATTTACAGACTGCCTCCAGCTTTACCAATGTTGAAAAACTGGAAGGTAAACAGCATTTTCTTGCTGTGATGGGTAAACTATCAATTCTACATTTCTACATCATATCTTAATTTCAGCATAGGTGAAAAAAATTTAGAACAGCAGCTTGTAAAATACTTTTAAAAAATACTTGGCATGCATATACAGTAGTTCTTATTCATCCAGCAAGACCACAAAAAACAAAGCAAAAGACTAACTGAACTGTTGAACTATCTCTCTTTCTTTCATACAGAATTTAAAAGAAAGGTCCCTTACACAATCATCTTACATTTCAAAGATTCTTCAATGTGAAAGATGAAGAAGGGCCTAGCAGACAGGTCCAGGACATCAATGCACTTCCAATTGCTGAGTCACCCCACAGAACCCCCAAGATCAAACACAGAACCACTGTCAACAAAGAGGGTATCATAATAAACCCATTTGTGACCTGCATGCTCAAAGCATATGGTTACCAGACTCATACCAAAGAGGTGGTTCATCTTGGTATGTTTGCCATTCCCAAAACATGGCATTTTAAGTTTAAATAAAAACCTCACTATGTTTCAAACAGGGAGTTGCATCTTGGGTATCTTTGAAGAAGTGGATAGAAAACCTATGCTGAGAACAGGAGGTCATCAAATGAGACTCAAGAGAGGTGATCCTCAAGTGAATGGTGGGCCTGAAAATTTAACTGCTGATGACATGGATGAGAACCCTTCAGTCCCAGGATTAACACTGCTTCTCAGACTTCTTCCACATGAAGAGGTACCAACAAAAAAAAACTATCTTTTTGAACAGATGTAATGTTTCACCACAATAAATTGACTCTCTTTATCAGGAGGAAGTTTCAGCTCCAGAATATGAGAAAGGCTTTTACAAAAGCTTGCCATGCAAACCAAACAAGTCAGAGTTGACACTGTATAATTACTATGCAAGTACACCTGACTTCAAGGCCTCTGTGGGAGACAAAGTAAGATTTATTACTGTATCTAAAACAGTGTTCCCTAACCTGTGATTCTTGCAGACTGGCGCCAGTCTGCAAAAATATTCTTCAATTTAATAAATGTCTTAAAAGTAGCAACAAGTATGTTACCTTCATCTGAAATTTTGGAAAGACACTGGCATTTGAAATTACTGTATCCAATGAAAAATAGAAGTTGACTTTTCTCCTGAAAACACTTCAGACAAATTTTCACCTGCTGAAATTAATCACTTCATTTTCTCATTCTGAGAAACACTTCTTCAACCCACCTTTCTATTTTTGAAGACATTCCACTATATACTGCAGCTGCTTCATTGGTTCTTGAATTAATTTTTGCAAAAAGCAGAAATTTTTTAAATATCTGCCAGTCTTTCAAGTAAAACATTTTTTTGAGTCTGAAATTTTTTTATGAAACTGTTCTGGTCCACAGAAAATTCTTTGGAAATTTGCTGGTCTGCAGAAGGTTTTATGGAAATATGGAAATTTGCGGGCCCAAAAAAATTGGGGAACACTGATGGGAACTCTTGAATGAATACTGTAATTATTTTTTTCATCATACCATCATTCAGGCAAGGGAAATCCAGAAATCAACAGGAGCTGCAACAACACCTGATGGGCCAGAGTTGAAAAAGTGGCTGACTAATGCACTGGCAAACAAGAATAAGCCTGCGGACATTCAGAGGTTTGTCAAGTATGATCAAAAAACCGGGCTGTCAGTGGTTGTACAGCAAGCATTCTGTCTCGCAGGTATGATAAAACTCACTTGAGTAATCTTTTTTTTTTTTCTTTCAAATCGTACTTCACATGGTGTTTCTTTCCTCTTCTTGCAGAATATCACGAATTCAGATACGCCCAAGCATTCGTTCAAATTGTCTACGAAAATGAAATTGATCAACTTTTAAAAGCTTGTCAGCCAGAAACACGATGTCTGACTTCAAAACTCGAGTCCTTATCACCCTACAGGTATCCCAAATGGCTGGATCAACCAAAGGTACATTTATTAGCGAGCGTCTCTCTAAATAAATAAATAAATGAACAAAGAATACATTTCAACTCCTCCTAGATTTTGAAACCAAAATTCGAAGAAAATGCACTCATGATTATTCGCATCATGGGATTCCCTGTGGCCTACACACCTGGTAAAGGAGGCCCTGGCAAAGGAACCGTTTCCAACAGAACATCGGGAAAAGCTTTGGAATTGAAACTGGAGCTTTGTCTCGCCTGGACAGTGATTCCTCTTTTCTCAAAGTGAATAAATATGGCAAACCAAAATTATTTCCCGCGCTGATTTTTTTTTTTGATTTCTCAACAGGAAATGTTTGATTCAAGGAGAATACTCTCTGCCTCTTTTCAAAGCTCCGATTCCTGCAGATATTCTCAAGGAATGCGTCGACTCCTTCCCTGACTTCAACCAAGTCCTCGTGAAACACGTGAAAGACAAGGCTTCTCCTTTAAAAGACCACGTGAGAGACGAATTCAGCTCTATTCACATAAAGTTAACTAATCATCTTAAATAACTTATGACTCATTTCAGCTTGAGAAGAAACAATTATTTCAAGCGATTTTCAAGTAGACTGTCTGTCAATTTCCCAATTTTTTTTCTCTCTTTCACTTTTTTTCACATGTTTTGTGGCAAAAATCGAAAGATGATACTGTACATGTATTTCCGGAGGCGACAGAATGTGAATTTTCCTGTCCAAGTTCCGCGCGTCCTTGCTGCATTATGACAAGATATTCCACGTTTTTTCATATTTGAATAATTAGGATCACCACGAAGGAATCCAAACAAATACTGTATAATTATCCAGTTAATGATTCATTCTTTATTTCGCAGTATAGATGCGTGGGATATGATCACAATGACAGAAAACTACCCGCACGTAAAAATTTATCTAAAATTCGCGTGCCTTCTTTAGTCTTCGTTTTTTTTTTTGTAAATGCTGAAATGGGAGAAGGAATGGATGGTTAATGAAACTTTTTCCAGTTTTAATAACTGCAGTTTAAAAAAAAATTTCGCGAGCTGTTTCTTGTTGTTGAGAGAAATAGATAAATTAGTGTTGATAAATCTGTCCAATACTGTTTTGTAATTTCTATGCATCAATAATATACAGTGCAGTAGTTTTTTTTTCAGTTATTCCGTGGAGTGAACGTCATTTTTCGGTTATAGGTTCTCAAATGAAGTATATTTCGCGGATATTTTTCAGTCTGGATTTGCTCATAAAGTATAAGATTTAATCTTCAAATAAAAAGCCTGAATGAGAACTTTCTAAGTCGAATGCGTCCCCAAGTCGATTTTTTTTTTTAAATCCCCGTCTGAATTTTCTTGGGGGGGAAAAAGCATCAAAAACCTCTAATTTGAAGGCTTTTCTCATCCTTCATCCTCGGTAACTCGAATTTTCTGAGGCCTTTTTGGCTATTATTTTATCTACACAAGTAAGAGACAAGCAATAAAATAAATAATTTGACGTGTTTTAAAAGGAGGTTAAAGACTATATTCGGACAAATGAACCCCCGCTTCCAAGTTCAGCATCCGCCATTTGATGAAAAATAAAAGTTGGCTTTCCTCCTAATAACATTTCAAACGCATTTTCACCAGATAAAATAAATTATTTCCTTTTTTCATTCTGAAGCCCACCTTTCTAAGTTTTTGATCATATCAAGCTGTAGTAGCTTCATACGAGGTGCTTGACTTAATTTTTGCAAGAAGCAGCGAATTTTAAATATCTGCCATAAACTCTATCAAGCAAAATGTTTTTCAAGTCTTTAAAAAATTTTTACGAAACTTTGCCGCCGGTCCGCGGACCCAAAAAGGTTGGGGAACACTGTACTGTAATTAGGACACTATATACTGTGCGTGTATCGCAATGTTCGGAATCTCCCTATACAGAACGGCGCAAGTCTGGATATGGCAGTTTGGGACGGAAGGTTCCAAGTGAACGAAGCACCAGAGATCGACATCAGGGAATGGATGCAGTCGTACGAGAAACAAATCGAGGACGGGGTCTATCTCCAAACCCATCACCAACTCCTGACAGCACTCGGCAAGGAAACCCAAGCGGAAAACCAACGCTCTTTCACGGCACTCAAAAAGGCTGGCACTTACCATCAAGTAAAACCGTTTCCCATTACAATTACCGGGTTCAGAGCGTATCGAAAAGAAAAAAAAATTTATAATAATTCTCCGGGATCGATTATTTATGCGTAGATCGTCCTTGAAAACCTGGACCCGAAGACCAAATCCGCTGGGCCGAAAGGAGACACGTTTGAGCAGGAAAAAGACAAGTTTTTTTCGGAATGCGACAAGGAATTCAAGAGGGCTTTCGTGAGTTCATCAAAAACAAAAGTTCCTCGTCGTGGCTTTTGAAAACCCTGACATATTTGCTACAAACGTTTCGCAGAATGAAGCTCTGAGCAAAGCTGGTCAAAAGCCTTTGTGATTCGTCTATCTTGGAATATATCAGCCACAACCTCAGCAAAGGATGCTGTCATACCACAACACATGCGAGCATATTGAAGAGTAGTGTACACGAATACTACGGATATCTGAATTTCCACGAGAAAGAAGCAATAAAAATATATGATCAGTATCACACAAGAATAACTAATTCAACTGAATTTCATCTTTTCCTTCATCCAACGCTGCGCAAATCGAGGCTCCGCTAAATATAATGTACAGTACTGTACTTGTATAATACGCTTCATTTTCGAACTTGCATCTGAAAAATTATGTTCACTCCACTAAATGCATAAAAATCAGGTTTTCTTTGTACTTTATTGTAAATTGAAATAAAATTACACACTCCATAAAAGCATAGTAGTTGACAGATTTATAAACACTGATTTATCCATCGCGTTCAAAAACGGTCGCGGTTTTTAGAAAACAAAAACTAATTGAAGACAGAATTAAAACGTATTAGATAGGTAAGGAATATGTTAAAGTTGTAAATTTTTACCTGATTCTACTTTTTGGTGCCCTTGTCACTTGCTTCAAAACTACCCATAAAAATATACCTCTAACACCAGTATACGGCAAGCAATTATAAAGAAGAAAATCTATTTACAATTGCCAGGATAATTAAATTATTATAAATTTGAAATTCATTTCAGCAATAAATCCAACCATCTCACCATCTCACTTCGCAATTTGCATTTTTCGGTCCACCCTGAATACATCAGTCACACTCACAGCAGTACTAAATGAAAAATGCATAATTACCCATTGATTTCAGTATGCCATATAATAATGTTTTAATTTATTTGTCAACTTGAAAAGAAGTGCCTTTTTTAGGGTTTCTCGTTGGTAATTTAATGTTGTCATTTATTATTACAATTTTACTTCAGTAAGGGACCAGAAAGAGCTTCGATATAATGCAATTTTTTTTACAAATAAATTAAGTTAATAATTTGGCTCATTGGTCAAGGACCTAAAAAAATGATCTCGCTGTAATAAGCAGCAATTCATTTTAACAAAATTCGTTGTAACGAGATTCTACTGTAACCTCGCACCCGTTTTTTTTCTTTTATTCACAAGACAAATAGCAATGAAAATTTCAAAATTAACCAATTTTCAATTCATTGTCGGGAATCTAGCCTACGCAGGGAGGTTAACCAATCAGAGATGAAGAAATGCCGATTAAGCCAACAAATATCAACAGTTTTTTAGACCGTGAAAATAATCGTTGCCCAATCGCCACCGTATGAATTCCAGCAAAAAGGAATGCTGTTCCTGTTCGATCTTTTCAATGCAGCAACACTCGAACCGACACCCACTTTAAATGCAACACAATTTAATCATTCAAAGCAGGGATGATCTTGCAACCATCATTTCCAGATTTCTCGAGTCCATGTTCAAATCTGAGTCGATCCCGCGCAATATTGAAATTTGTGAAAAAATGGGTAAAAAACGATATAATAAAACCAGACGAATAAATATTCGCCTTTTTCCTGAATATGCTGATTAAAAAAATATGATGTATATACTGTATAGCCTTTTAATTTTAATTTCTGCACAGTCAGGCGAACCATTTCCTAGATGAGATAGAAATGTGTCCTTGGGTGCCATTCCAATAGCCGGAAGACTCGGGTTGAAGTTCAGCGGCAGCTGGAACATAATTATCTAGATTCCATAGATTTTAACATTTCACGGTCTCCTTAATAAGCCCACGTGAATAATTTCATGATCACGCAACTGAATCACGGTAAGTCAAGTCAATAATATGCGACAGATTTTCGGTTGAGAACAAGACGAATCAAATGTAGCGCAAAAAAGGGCTCTCCAGAAATTCGCCCATTACAAATAAAGAATCAATTCGAGCTTCGTGTAAACTAAAGGATATTCATCCAGGGAAACGACAGTTTAATAAGCCTCTCTGACAAGACAATTTAAAATTTTTCGTAAGTTTTCCATTCGTATTCGAGATTTCTCACAATATTTATAATTTTAAGGGTTATCACAATATTCACAATTAGAAATATAAAATATACATTTATCCTCATGGGCTGATTGCTGGACACTGCAATATAACTTTGACACACAAAAAAATAAATGAGTTGAAGACTGAAAATCATGCTTCACTTTTACGCGTACAAAACAACTCAACATTTTGTATAATGAATGTTGCCACTGCACCACTTCCTTATTCGTCACGTGCCAACCAAGAGTTTCGGTACAGATAAATATAACTCCGATGCATATCATTCTGGACTGTGTCATGTCTGTTATGATGATTCCAGGTTCCTCATTGACACAGTCACTTAATCATCACCTCGTACACTATTGAGCCAATTATGAGAAAATAATGAAAAAGATAATTGACAGCAAGAAGAGTCCCTTCCGTATTGTCAAACAAGTTGTCTGCTCGTGACTGGACTTCGCCATTCTAAAAATATCCGCACAGAGGGGCCACCGACGAATTATCCAAATTTCGGGAAGAAAAAAAAAGC